CGAGTGAATGAGAATAATTGTGCGCCAGTGACGTCAACGGAGGAGGACGCCGCGTCACGTTCCTCGTGGTTGCGGTAGTCGTGCTCATTAACTCATGAGCCCTGTCCACAAGGCTCTCTTGCCATGCCCGCGGCTCATGAGTTCCGCATTCAGTTGCACATAGGTCTCTTTGATAGAATGCAATATCCCGCTTTGCCAATTCTTCAAAAGGAACCACGCCCACTTTTACATTGCTTCTTATGCAGCTTCCACGAGCACACCCCACATTTCGCATCGCCACATAGGTCTGTTTCGTAGAAATACGTCCAAATATTCTTCCACTGTCATCAACTTCATGTTCTCTACCTTCCATCCCCCATACTGCCGTGCCAAGGAAACACACCGCACGATAATTTACGTGTTGCCAAAGGAAATTTGGCAAATCACGAATTTCAGGAAAAATTCGTAAATATTTTCCCTCCGATTTTTTGATAATTTCGTTCGCAATTTCACCCAAAATTCCTGAAAATTTCAAGGGAAAATATTCATAGCTTTCCTCCAAAATAAGCATTTTATCGAAAGAAATTGGTCAACTCTCGAATGTTTTTACGCCGTTTCTTCTTAGCTTGGAGGCATAAAACAAAATTTGATTCCGAAAGGCGATTTTTCAAGGGAGTGCTTTTCGGATGAAAAAACATAATTTCAGACGACTGTAAACGCTCGAGTGATTTAGGTTTTGAGCGGTTAAGTTCACTTTTGTGCCGATGAAGGCAAATCAATTGACTACAGTTAGGGATGGAGGGTATGAATTAACCCTCTACTAGACTTTTTATCCTCATCAATATTTCTCACTGAATACGCAGAACGAATCAAAATCTTTCAACATTCACTCATGAGTGAGAAACGAATATAGTTTTCAGTGGAAGTAGTAAATTTGAACTATACCCCCTATCGAAAAATCCATGATCGACATGCATCAATTAATCCATCAAAAAATACCTATGCATTAGGAATAAAACTAAGGCTTAGTTTCGACCGCACTTTTTTCTATCTCTCGTAAAATAAAATTCAGTACGCAACCAAATGTTTTAACAGTAGATTGCATCGAAATTAGCTCGGTGCTTAGTTGAATACGAAAATAATTTTTTTGTGAGTGAGAAGTGTGAATTGACTTACACAAACAAATTTCCATTGTAAAAAATGAGCTGATATTGGAAAGTTTTGATGTATTCATCGTATTTTACGTAATATTTATGTGAAAAAACATACATTGTGACAGTTTTGTACCCTGGTCAATTAAGTATTTGAATTTTGAAAGTATGACAAATTTACATCTTAAAAAGCTGAAACTAAAATTGATTTTTTCCTTCGTAGGTGTGAACCCCAAATCCTTAGCAGGCTCTCGCACCGCAGTTTACTCTATGTATGATTTCAGTGAGATGGAATTGAGTATTGCCTACACTCAAATGGTGAAGGTGCTTCTTGGTTCAGCCAGGACTTTTACGGCCAACAGACTCTCGTTCGCATTGGATCTGCATGGTAAGTCTCTAATGCTCCGTCCATCGCTGGATTCTGGGAGACTTTCTCTGCGTAATGTATGCCCACAAAAAACTAGGGGCCCCCTGGCTGCTACGCGGCCCGACCTCCCGGGCGCTGGGAGCCCCTAAACACCCTCTTCGCGGCCAGCGAAATCGTCGAAATCGCCCGTTGGCGGTTAAGTAATTTTAACTGATTAAACAAACGATGTTTCAAATAAAAATTTCTTGCCAAACAATATTCTTAATGGTTTTTTCCTCAATCTGAATTGGACGTATTTCTGTCAAACGGAACTAAGCGCCATAGGGTGAGGAAGGTAGAGGGGGGCTTGGATTGGCGGCGGGACCGGGCGTCGGGCTCATTCCGTCCTAAACTCGCAATGCTTTTCCATGGCGCTTAGTTCCGTTTGATAGAATGCGCTATCCGACATTCTAAATTCCTCAAAAGGAACTCAAATTAGCGCTTAGTTCCGTTTGACAGAAATACGTCCAATTTTTATTCTATACCGACGTGGGAAGCAGGGAGTTAGAGATAACGCCACGGATGAAACATGTGGCTAAAAATCCTCTCTGTTCTAATTAAATCATTTTTAAGGCACTAGAATATGGACTGGGTGAGGTAGGAGAGTAAGACGATCAGAAGGTCAAATTTCAAAGAAAGAATCAAAATCCAGAGTAAGGAGAAAGTCGTCAAGAATATTGGTTGGTAGGAACTTGTTCTTTGGAACATCGTTTTGTTATTCAATTAAAATTATTTGCTAATTAACCACGGGCGATCTCGACGGTTTCGCTGGCCACAAAGCAGGCCTTTCCTCGGGGTTTGGGCCACGTAGCGACAGTGCTTAGTGAATTCATGCAAAGTGAAAATAAACTGTTCATAATCAAATCAGAGAATGTTTCATTTATAATGGTTTCAGGTCCAAGTTACACATCCCAAGGAGGCGCTGGCGCAATTTTTCATTTAATTGAAAAAGCGAGATCTCAACTAGAAGAAAGAACCATCGATGCAGCTATAGTTGTGAGTGGTAACTTCCTCTTAACTGCCAGGTCCCTTGCCATCCTCGACGGAATGGGCCTTGCTGCTAAGGACGGGAAGTGCCGCCCTTTCGATAAGAAAGGTAAACATTTTTGTTTTATAATACTTAACACTTAGTGGGAGAAATAAGTCGGAAGTGGTTCACATTTATTCTTTTATTTTTTTACCTTTTGACTCCTAAGGATACAAAAATGAACGCAAATACCGCATTAAAGACGTTACATCACACAAACTTGGGGGGGGGGCGATGCAGTAATTTAACTAGAGTTAAGAAGAATTGAGACCCTCTTACGTTGCATGTTTTTTCGATCTCAAACATTTCGTCACCTTTCCGCCAAAGTATCACAAGCGCCATGCGACGTTTCAACATTTTCGCCGCCATTTTATTTTTTTACAGAGAAATTGTTGGTTGAATCCGTTTGAAAATTTCACATAACTTTATCGGCAGCACAAAGAATATTCAGTGAAATTTTCAGACAGCTTCGATGAACAATTTTCTGGAAAAAAATTAAATGACGGCGGGAATTTTGAAACGTCGCACGGTGCTTGCGGTATTTCGTTTGGGAGGTGACGATTTATGGACCACACGTATAAAAAGACTTCAATTATCCGAGCCGAATAGTTTAGTGGGTGTTAATTCAATATACAAAACAGAAAAACTTTACTTCAAATGTGCCATGTTTCATACTGTCCGAAGTTGAACTGAAGCTCGACTGAAATCTCAGCTCCGCGAACTGAAGAATCCCTTCTGAACTCTTCGGTTCATATAACCGAAGTTATTTCTTGGTATATTGCTATCTACAGCTCGCTACGAAATTCGTTTTTTACCGTTCACACAAAACAAAATCATCAATATCTAGACATCATTCATATTTTTCACGTAGTGTCCAAGGTGTATTTGAAAAAACACTGAAAAATAATTTAATTCCTTATCGGATTTCAGCTAACGGTTACGCTCTGAGTGAAAGTTGTGTCGCGTTTTTCCTTCAGCGCGAGTCAGACGCTCGGCGCAACTGGGCAACGGTCATCGGAGCTGACCACAAGTTTTTCGGACAGAAGCAGGGTAGCATTTTGGCCTTTGATGGCCGGCCGGCCAAAGAGATGTTGCGCCAACTCTACTCCAGGTGCCAAGTCGATCCCGCTAGCGTTTGTTACATTGAAGCAGACGGTTCTGGAGTTAAAGTTAGTAAACTACACCTTACATGCGGCCTTGTGAAAGAGCACTGAGGTTAAATAAAATAAAATAACGGGAATAAAATAACATGATAGAAACCCCACTCAGAAAAAATTACCCCCAGAAAAAATTAAAAAGGCGAGCTTTTTCCATCCGTGCAGGACGTACATAATGGTTGACTGATCGATGGCTCAAAATTATGCAAGGGCCACCTCAAAGGGGAGAGCGAACCCAAAAGGAGGGGTATCGAGGCAGTTGGGGCATTGGGTCCACCCTGAATTTCCTCAATCTTACGATTTTTTGCTCATTGAATATCTATATTTCTCGGAATACATCATGATTTGGTCGTTTTCGATCTCTTTTTGGGTCCAATACTGGCCTACACATAGGTCTTAATGCTAATTTTGGCGAAAAATGCGGGGTTTGAGGATTTGCGGTCGTATGCCAAGAAATTCGCATATTTCGGTAAAATTAGTCCTCAGACTCGCACGTTTAAGCGAATATTGGATCCAGAAAGAGATCGAAAATTACCAAATCATGAAGTATTCTGTAAAATATAGACCTTCAATGAACGGAAAATGCATCAAAGATAGGCCCAAAAACGATTCCTATCGATACCTCTCCTTTTCTTTCCAAATTGCAATACATTATAGGTTGGTCCCCCAAAAAATGTTCAGAAGGGGAAGGGATTAACGAAAACAGTTCCAGTTGGCCCAGAAGCACTCTTTAAATTTCATCTTATTAACTCAGTTTGATCCATAATTAGCTAGAAGATATGGGACTTTCTAGACAATCAACCTGTATGTTTAAAACTTGAAGTAGCAAACACTTCCATACGTAAGTTCCATATTCAGGCCTTTTTTATGTGTGTTGCAACGATGATAGATTCTTCTTGTCTCCGCAGGATCGGGATGTAGACGAAGTAGACCTTATATCCGACGTCTTTTGTCAGAGGAGAAAAGAACCCCTTCTGATAGGGTCAATCAAATCAAATATGGGTCACGCTGAGTGTACAGCGTGCGCTGCTGGCGCTGTCAAAGCTATTGTTGCCCTTAACAGTTCAAAGATTCCGCCCACCATACACGTAGAGTCACCAATTCCTGAACTCACGACAAAAGGACTCAAGGTATACTCTGATGATCAACGTTTTCATTGGTGAAGTAGCATAAGATTGTAGTAAAACTCAGAAAAAAGTTCCGTTGAAGGAAATGAACGTCCGGCGAGCGGCTGGCCAACTCCCAACGCGCATTGGCGCCTACAAACCTAAGGGGATACTCCAAGCTTTGCACAATGCGTGAAGTATCCCCTTAGGTTTGTAGGCGTTAGTGCGCGTTTTGCGCCGTCGGTCTACGACTGAACACCGAACTTGTTTGGCTAGGATACCGACAAAGGTTGGTGATCAATACGAGTTGAACTTCTAATCTCCGTCTAGGTTTAAGATCAAAATAATTTCAGTTGATTTTTTTTAAAGGGGAGTGTCTCTTGATATCCTGTACTATACTCGTATCAAAATCGTTATTTCAGACATTATTTTCACATTATTTTAGACGATAAAATAAACGCTCTGACTGAATGAAACTTTCGAATAATTGTTAACTGGAAAACCGCCAAAATGAGAAAGGAAGACAATTTTTAGACCTGAGATCACTTCAAAAATCACATATATTTATCTGAATTCAGTGAGCAGAGAGGTAATGGCATTTACAAAATGATGTCTTTGAAAATCATAACGTTTGATCTCTGCCAATTTAGTCATCTCATAACACTTTAATTCTCATATTAAGTATTCTTTTGTGATCAGATGCCACTGAATGTGAAATTTTGTCGATATGGAAAAGAAAATTATTTTTTAGCAGTTATCAAAGATACAGTCTGTCATAAATGATGTTTACTTTACAGATTGTGACGGAGACCACTCCATTTAAAGGGAATTTCGTTGGTGTTAACGCTATAGGACTAGGTGGCCATTTTGGACATCTCCTTTTGAAAATGAACCCCAAGTAAGTGATGATTCCATATCTACAGAAATTATGGAACAAAACTCCAGTTTTGTCAAAACATTGAACACAAAATTCTCTAATATGACCGGTGCTAAACAACACCAGGAAAAGTTATCGCACAGAATGTATATTCGAAGCTTTCACAATCTGTATGTTCTATTTTTTTAAAAGAAAAAAAAAAAAACATTATATCACATTTAAGTTAAGTGATTTTAAAACAGTTGAATAATGATAGATTAGAAACATCGGTTGGGATAAAACGAGAAAAATTAAAATAGAATCTAAATTTAATTTTTAAACTCCTCCATTTTCCCAAATATTCAATTCTGGTTTTTATTGTAAATGGACAGACTTTCGTGAGGACTCTTTCCAAATAAAAAAAAAGGTAATATAAGTAACAAAAAATCTTTACTAGAGTTGCACTAATATTTTGGGATCGCTAAAATAACTCATATCCTCTTTTGGTTAAATCAATATTTGTATGCTAAAAGAGCGAGCCATTTCATTACTTATGATAAAATGAAGAATTTCGTTATGCTCACTGAGAAGCGTTTTCAAACAGCTCAGTTTTTAGTTATCTACGAGTGAATCGTTATTTTAATATAAGATAAGACTATAAAGCCTATAAAATTATGCTCAATGATTAAAGCAGTATAAATTTCACAAAAAACATGAAAAACTATTTCAGAAAATCCTCGACGATGGAGATCAGTGAGACCTTCCCGCAAATTTTACTACTATCCTCGCGAACAGAGAAAGGGATGGAACAAGTCATGGACCAAGCAAAAAAGACAAAAATCACTCCTGAATTTGCCGGACTCGTCAATGACATCTTTGGCCAAGAGGTCCGGAATCACATGTACAGAGCTTATGCTCTTGTGCCTCCAAAAACCACAGATATTAAATTCAAAACTCAGGTAAGAAATCTGGGTTGGGTTTTACCAAATATCAGCTTGTTAATAATTTAATATTCTCCTAAATGTAGGTTCGTTCTAGCCTACGTCTAGTAATACTAATATCCTGGGCATATAGATTATAGATTACGCAGATTTCTTGGCGCGTATACGTAGTATACCACCTTTGCGATCGTTTCGAACCCTGCTCGATACAATAACCGAGTCCCTTAGTTCCTTACCGAAAAGTGACTACCGCGAACTTCTGAGATTTTCCAAAGCGTTTAAAAAGTTTATTTATCCGTCAATAATTATGATTTAAAGTTGTTTCTCATTCTGGGGCTCTCTAGTTTATGTGCAGTGAATACCAAGAGTCTACGTTACTTCGTTTTTTTAAAAAAAAGCCTAAGAGTACGACGCGCTGATTTAAAATATGCATATATAAGCAGAATCAAGCGAACTGATTCGAGGATGGCTGAGCAGGTCGGCACTCTCGGAATGAGAATTTAACTCCTCCGTTTTGTTCAAAACGTTGCTTTGACAGATCTCCACACCTCTGTTATACTTTTCAAAAGTTGGTACCCGTGCTCTGATAGTGCAATCTGTGTAAGTGCAATCTGTGATGAGCCTCGAGACTCATTAGACCATTAGCTAAACGTGGCTCATACAGGAATCCACTTACCCCTCTCTTCCCCACGCTCCTCATCACTGCGTCGGCGTCTCGACGAACAATAGCTAATGACGGTCGCCAAGCGAGGCCGGGATCCTCAGCCCCTCGCCCAATTACTTACGCTTCATTAACCATTTCACCGTCACGCTAGGATTAGCCCAATTTTCAAAAAAAATTGTTTCGCGAGTTTTTAGCAATTTTTTCCTTACTCTCCGTTAAAACACGAATTAAAAGAGGCCTCATTCATAAAAATCGGCCAAATAGAAGAGAAGTTACAGTATTCGAAATCCGAAGAAATCAACAAAACTTCTCCAAACAAAAAATAAAATGAAGGGGGAAAAAAAGAAATGTATAAATTACAATTTCATATGATTGACCTCAGAATGTGACAAGCAATTCAATTATAAAAAGGAGAACAAATTGAGTGAAATTACAAAAAATTAGCCTCTTGCAAGGGGCTTCCTTGTATGAGTTTTAACCTGAAGACAAGTAAATCCCGTTATATTATTAAAACGAAATGACTCCATAGTTTAATGCCTTAGTTTCTTGAATACGATTATTTTAAGCACTCGAAAATTTATACGTGCAATTTTACCCATGGGGTGATTTATTGAGAGCTGATAATATCCCGAATTTCTCATAGAGCCCTTCAAAAATGGCTTGCTTTTTGGGCAGCCGATTCGGCCATCAAACCGGGGTTTAAATGGAAGCTGATAATAACACAAAGCTCTGAGAAAAATTTTGAGATAAGTATAGGAACGGTTTGTAAATTACGAGGAGAGGCGGGCATTCTGTTCAGCATATCGATACATAAGTATTTTCACACGTAGAATTTAATTTTCACGTCAGGGAAACGACATATTTTGATTTTTTCGATTTTATACGGAAAATTTATGGTTTTTCGGGATTGAAATTACTTACAATTGTTTCATGAAAAATGAATGCACCCAAAATGACTATAGCATTTTGACTTTCACATACGTGCACTCACTAAATTGATTGGTACATTCAAAGAGTGGGTACATCGACCTGGTATATCAAGTTTCTGCGATTTTTTACGGCAAATCGGTAGATTTTCGGGATGTGGATTGCTTACTTTCAATTCATGAATGAATAAAGCATGGACATGGTTGAGCTTCTTTGCATGAAAAGACGTTTAAAATAACAAAATCAAGACATATTTAATACAATTGCATTTATATCGAGTCAATTTCTTTTCAATAATATAACGGGGTTTATAATACCGGTGATTTGGGTATTTTAGCCCCAAAATACCTTTAAATTTACTTTATCTTCTAGGAGTTCGACAGAATTTTTCCTTTCTTCGCTTAAATTTTTCCGTAGCACTTTTCTTCAAGAATCTGATAAGATTTTGCTTGAGGCAGATCAAAAAACTTAAATTTGTTCGAATAGCTTTCTAGATTCACAATACACGGTCTCGTCAAGGTGCGTCGTTGACCTTGCAGTGTTGGATCGTGAATTCTCTTGTTGTGCTGCTTGCCTTTTTTGAAATCTCTGTAAATGAAAACTAAAGGGGTTGATATGTGCGAGGTAATGACGCGCCTTATCAACACATTGTGTTGGAGTTCACTGCTTGTTTTTCATTCAGAGTATTAGAGGAGAGGAAACTTCATTTTTCCTCTATATTTAAAAAAATTAACTTATTTAAAAAAAAAAAAAAAAAAAAAAAAAAAAAAAAAAAAACAACAACTAGCTCCCTTTTTCGTGTCTTAATCGAGCCAAATAATCGACAAACTAAAAGCATCTACATTTTGAAACACCCAGTCAATATTGACCCAAAAGAGGCACAACTTAGAGAACACGTGACGAAAAATAACCAAATCTACCAATTATTACATGCCACTTCATTTTATTTTAGGGGCCATCCATAAATTACTTAATCCCCCCCAGGGGGATGGGGGAGGTCGAAAAGAAGGAATAGGAATGTACGTTACAAAAGCATTAAAGGAGGGGGGGGGTCAAAAATGCCGAAAAAGTACGTTACATTTTTACAAAATGAAATGAAGTGGCCACTTGATCTCGTCTTATCTAGTCCAAAAACACAAAATGTCAATAATCGGTCGACACTACCGATCATGTTATCATTTCAGAGAGCAGATGGAGGTCAAAGGCCAATCTGGTGGGTGTTCTCAGGTATGGGCTCCCAGTGGAACGGTATGGGCGCTCAGCTAATGCATGTCCCCATATTCCGTGACGTCATCGATAGGTGTGACAAAGTTCTCTCACCACGTGGCCTGGACATCAAGCACATTATTACTTCCACGGATAAGGACATCTTTGAAAATATTCTACATGCATTTGTTGGTATCACTGCAACGCAGGTAATTTATGATGGCTTTCACTTATGGGCTTGCGTATTTTATATGTACATAAGCAGAAAGCAATAAGGTAGATGTATTACCTTTTACTGTAAATGATTACAGTTCATCATTAATTGAAGCCATGAATAAAAATTAATACACATTAGCAAGCAAATTGGATTTAACAAGATTTGTGGCATCATTATCGAAGACTGCTGGATATTCCATTGTCTGTCAAAAATAATTTATACGGATCTCTAGGTAGCCAATTACTATAATTCTGATGTAACTGACTGTGGAGGATGGGCTATGACTTCCACTGGAGAATCTTTTTAATGGCAAGTAGCTGAAGTAAAAGCAGTGAAAGGATGTGAAATTGAGTTTTTGACGAACATTAGTAGACCCTCTGCGGTAATATCTGCAGTTCGCTCTAGAGTAGTTCCTCAATAACTGCTAGCAACTCTTCAGTGCTATAGAAGAATCCTTTTTGTTACTGAGCAGTCACAATTAAGTAAGATTAGTATCCCTCCAATTTTTTCTCTTCTTTCTTTTAACTGCAGGTTTGCAAAGCAAAACTTCGAGGCATCATAGCTATATGGCAGATTTTGAAAGCGAAGTTGTGCCGTAAATGTTTGAACCACCTCGCATTTCCAATCGCCTGAGTAGAAATCTCTACGTAGACTCTAGAATCGCTTATAGCTGTCATTTTAGCAGCATTCATTTTACCTCGTAGCCTACCTCCCCCAAAAAATTCGATCGGTATGTATAAAAAGTGAATTTCGTCCCGAAAGAGCGGAGTTCGACCCATTGCCCCTATTTTGTCGCTTCTCTGACGGAAGGGCGTATCTTCACTTCCAAGTGAGCCCCAGAAAGCATGGCGTTTTATGAACAACAGGGCTCATGTGAAAATCAAGATACGCTCGTACGTCAGAGGGAAGATCACTTCAAATTTGGATCAATATAAGCTTCGGAGTAAAACGCACTCCAAATTATTGACAGAGTGTGATGGTAATAATTTGCATCTCGGTAGTCAATTTATATACATTTTGCTGGATTCGTGCGATTTTAGATTGGCTTGGTGGAAGTACTGAGAGCCTTGGAGTTGGAGCCCGAGGGCATCGTGGGACACTCTGTTGGTGAATTAGGATGTGCCTACGCTGATAATTGTCTAACTCTCGAGCAAACGATTTTGGCTGCTTACGCTCGAGGAAGAGCTTCATTGGAGTCAACTCTAATCAAAGGAATGATGGCGGCGATAGGTATCATGCATATACAACCTTCTTTCTAAATTTTTTTAAACATTTCAAAGTTACCGAGCACTGGAAAAAAAAACACATTGAAATAGAACCCAAGGTGTTTTTGCTGAGAGCTAGTATCCTTGATAATTAAAACACGGTTTTTAGACACACTGGAAAAAACACATTGGATCTAGAGTCCAGACTCTTAAAAACATCGACAAGAAAAAATACTCTTGATTCAATCGGATTTTTACTTAAATCAAGGACCAAGCCTCTTAATTTAAGCGGATTTCGTTTTGATTCAAGCAAAAATCCGATTGAATCGAGATTATTTTTTCTTGTCAATGTTTTCAAGAGTCTGGACTCTAGATCCAATGTGGTTTTTTTTTCCAGTGAGGTTGGTAAATAAAGCAAAGGCTTGACTGGACTATTAGCGCAATTAGATACACATTGAGAAGGATAAGATACACATTTTTAAGAGCAGCCCAAGAAAATGATAACAGCGGAAAAACAAGGGGGAAACAAGGCTAAAATACACAATTACTAAAAACCCGACTATTAAAATTAATAAATAAAACGATGCAACCCATCGTTTCCCCCACGAAATAATTTTACTACATTTTAAGGTTGCCAAATTTACCTTCACAAATTGTATACTTGACAGGCAAATCTTGGGCAATGCCAACTGAAATTTTCACTGATTTGTTTTACTGATCTCAATAAAAAATCAGATACATTTTTGCATTAAAATTGCGCAAGTATATTCCTGTGGAACATTGAATTGCTTAAGTCACTCTGGCAACCTTGGAATGGAGTTATACGTTCATTTGTTCAGGAATATGGGTCTAAAAGGTGAACTAATCTTAGAATGGTAACGGATGAGCGAATTTTATAACTCATGCCTTGTTCATTACACTTAACTAATTTGTATCAGAAGAATTGGTTTTTTTTAAAGCAGTTCACTGACCTAGACGAATCCAATTCTGCAGTCACTAAAAGATCTTTAATTCTTGAAAATGCTAATAACTTATTGCTTAATGGTATCATTTTCTGTAAACAGGGTTAGGTTACGGTGATATCTTAAGCCGCCTACCAAAAACCATCGATGTTGCTTGCCGCAATTCTGACACAAGCTGCACGATATCGGGACCTGCAGCAGACGTCGAAGAATTTGTCACTGAATTGAAAGCCAAAGGTATTTTTGCGAGGAGTGTCAACGTAGCAAATATTGCCTACCACTCCAGATATATCCAGCCTGCAGCCCCAATTTTACTCAAATATCTAAAAGAGGTATCTAAACTAATTCCACAAGTATATTTTCTTGATACTGCCATAGTGATTGTGATCGTTAACAGGAACAAGTACCTGAGTTCCGGTAATATCAAGAGTAAGATATTTATACTCTTATTTGCACGCACATTTACATAGTGCATTTTTTGGGAAAAAATCTCCCAAATATATTAAGCCGAACAGAAGCCATGCTGAAGCGAAGTTTGATCGGGGAGAAAAACTAAAACGTTTAAATCAGTCGTATTCCGGGCTGAAAATTTTGGAATTGAAATATTATTTTAACACCATATATTGGCTTCTATTGGCTATTCTTCCACAATCCACCCTTGAATTTCAGGTCATACCAGAGAAAACAAAGCGATCTGAAAAATGGATCAGCAGCTCAGTGCCGAAGAAAGACTGGAGCTCTGACCTAGCCACCTACAGTTCCCCTGACTACCACACTAACAACCTGCTCAGTCCGGTTCTCTTCGAAGATGCCATCAAGTCGATTCCATCAAACGCCGTCTGCATTGAGATTGCACCCCATGGCTTGCTCCAGGCAATTCTTAAACGAGCACTTCCAACCAAAGTCACAAATGTCCCGCTCACTCACAGATCCAGTCCAGATGGCGTAAAGTTCCTCTTGGATGCTATTGGACAGTAAGTTTGATTTCTTTAGTTCAATATCCACTCTGAATTATTAGAAGAGAATATTATACTGAAATTGTTTAGTATGGATATAAATTTTGCGACGAGGAGCTACTACTTGAACGAATTTTAATGAAAATCAGCCGGATTGCATTTTCAGTTGCCTAATTTCTCCTGAAGTTTCCTTTTTTTAACATAATTTTGATTGTAATTCAAAGAATATGGAATTATTCATCGATGGCTTCATTATTTTTTTAATTAATCTAAAAAAAAAAAAAAAAACAGTTTCAATTTCAAAAAATAAGGAAGTGTTTTTCGCTCCAATAGAGATGTTCTTTAAGTCAAATTAGGATTTAAAAAAAAAAATAAAAAAAGCGAGCCCCACTGGCTTGCTTAATATTATGAGCCAAAAAAAGAAATTCTTTGGTGAAAGAACATACTTTTCCGAAGTGAAATGAAAATTTTAACCATGCTTGTTTTTAGTGCACATTGCAGGACAGGTTTTTAGATACTTAAATTTACTCTAGGTTCAAATAAACGTCTCTTAAACCTAAATGTCAACCATAGTTGTCATTTTTTTTAATAGGCTGTATCTGCTTGGGTTTGAGCCGAAAGTCTCAGCTCTGTATCCAGCAATCCAGTTTCCAGTGCCACGAGACACACCTAGCCTTCAGCCTTTTACGACGTGGGATCATTCTGAGACGTACGGCCTTCCAGCTCACCTGGTAAAATTTTAGAAAAGGGTTCTTGGGTATGGAGAACCTCCCATCTGCTCGAAACATCTCAGAGCTAATAACTTGATTTATCTCTGCTTTTCAGAATTTTGTAGGGATGAACGGAAGCTATTACTTCAGTTTTACATACCTTTAGAATTGTTCGCTTAGGAACTACTATTTCTAGCTATTGTTAGAAATAGCATTGAAGGCCTAAGTCCGCAACTATAACGTATATCCTTTGCGGTGTTTGAAAATTTCCGCCTCTTTATTATTTTTTTGAAAGAGAAAAAATTGGCATCGTTCTTTCAAGTTTTTGCATAATTTTTTGCGCACAGAGAAGAAAAATCAGGGCAGTTTTAAAGAATTGTCGTCGAGTGGTTTTCCGTTTAAAAAATAATGTATGACAGGAAGTCTGCCACGTCGCAAACCGAGATACGTGGTTGCGGACTTACTCCGTCGATATGTACTGTTAGAATTCCGACTTATAAAAAAGATATTATAGATTCTCCTTGCAAAATGCAATGCAATTGTTCAGAGACTTTAACGCAGAGATAGAAAAGTAGCGATAATTGCGTGGAGTGTTTTTGAACGGGTTGGAAGTTCCTTAGAAAAACTGAGGCAAGATGAAGATACCTTCACCTTTCTTGGCCACATCCCAGCAGGAGATATACATGGGAAAACAACTTCGAAAGTAATTTCATCGAAGGATTTTAATTCCCACAAATTGTCATAACTTAGGGAAAGAACAATAACTTTAGCTTTCTCTATTATTTTTGAACGATTTATTTCATTGAATTTTCTAATCTAACTTATGCAGGCTCACGTTGACGAGGGTACCATGGCAGTTTCTGAACGCGTATATTCTTTGAAAGAAGTGAAAAACATTTTGAACCACTACCAAGAAAATGATTCTCCAGTCTCACCGATATCTTTCTTCTTGGTAAGTAGGATTTTGCTGCCCATCGCCTTGACTCTATTGAGAAGATAACAATCAATGCCTAGGCTCACTGATTATCACTAGATTAGTAATATAATCCTTAATATTAAATTTATTGGCATGAGAGTATTTAATTTGAATAAATATAATGAGTGTACGTACAATACGCAACCGTGTAAAGTGAGTTAGATTTAAGGATGAAGTGGCTAGGTACCGAGTAAATTTGATAAAACAGCATGTTAAATGTCAATTGTGAAACTCCCAAATCACGTGACTTGGTATTTTAATATGTCCGCTCCTATTTTATTTCTTTTGACTTGAATGAGAACAAGTTGACAATATTCCTTAAAGTTTTTACAGAATTGTCCTCACATAGTGGAGAAAAATCAAAGAAACTTTGAAGAATTGACGTTGAGTAGTCCCTTATTTAGGAAAGAAAGCATGATAAGAAGTCTGCAACGTCTCAAACCGAGATTCGTGGTTTGGGAGTTCGACCAACGATATGTCATTAGTCACTATAGTGACGTCATATTTAAATAAGTGACAATTTAACATGAAAATTAAACTATGTTGAAATAATGCAAATTGCCCGACTTTCATTAAAATTTCTAATGATTTTAACGATATTTCTTGCTTTTGGCAGATTGAAATTTGGAAGATTTTCGGAGGGGTTGAGAAGATGGAATTCAACAAGCTTCCGGTTGTCTTCGAAAACATCCAGCTTTACGCTGAGATAAATCTATCAATTGAAGGTGAGCTTGATTGGTCGCTGCAATTTTTCCCCTAATGTAGAAATTATAAAAAGTGACTGCTATGATAAATCCTAATATTCCGCATTTGAGTGAGGTGATCAATGCATTTAGATGTTCATTTATTTACTTTCATCACAACTTCGTAACAGTTACTAAACTTTAAAATACAAAAATCAAATCAACTATTTATGCATTTCACAGTCTCTCCTCCTTATTTTACAGATCCTAGTGAAATATACTTCGGAATTTTATCTAGCGGGGAGTTTATTGTAAATCAAGTCATCCGACGAGGTGAACAAGAGATTGAAGAAGAGACGACTTTAATCCGTGGAAAAATCCAAGTCTGGGAGGACCCAAAACCTACGCTGTCTCTGAAGGATGAAATAGACGTTGCTGTCCAAAGTTTAAGCACCGAGTCACTTTGTATTGATGGTGTAAGAGTTCAAGCCATATCGGATCTTAACTTAGCTAGCAACGGTACTGCTAAAAGTTGTAATTATTTTTATTCAAGGAAACCTAACTTGCAAAATAATTCGTTGTTCTTTTTCGTAGTTTTCGATAAAATTGAGAGTATGCATCTCGTAAACCCATTAAAATTAATTTTTATTTCTTATCAATTTTCAACGCCGCTTCATAATATAAAGATACCAGTCACTTTCTTTAAGTCCTGTTGGCGCAGTGCACCAGGTTCCATTTCTTTAAGTTATTCCGAGTCCAGGTATAGTGTCCACTCACATTTATATTTTATCGTATTTCTATTTTCACCGCGGCGAAATAAGAAATTAAAATTGTTTGAAGGCATTAAAACATTATTAAAATTTAAGTCAAATTTGGTCATAACATTAGTATCCAATGATAAACAACGCATCAAAAACATTTTTTTAGTAAGTTATTCTGCAGCTTTATTTTCTCAATCAACATAAGATTTTGAAACGATTTAAAAAGAAACATTTGGATCAAATTTCGATTGAAATAGTTTTTCATTTATAAAAATGTCTAAATTATTTTATCCTGTTTTCAGGAATGCTCGGCAAAATACGATGGAACAAAGACTGGGTGGAGTACCTCAATGCCATTTTCAACGCAAACCTTCTCCAGAAAATCCAGGAAGCAGATGCTGAGCTGCAACCTATCTCGGTGCAGTTCATACACATTCATCCTGAACGACTGGAAGCCAAAAGAGCTGGTTCCAACATCGAGTTTTCGATTCAATCAACACTGCAAACTTTCGAAAGCGAAGGTGTTAGTTTGAGAAAAATGACTACGAAACTGAAACCCACAGAGGAAGAGCTGGTTGAAAAACTCTACTTCGTATCGTACGGGGAAACTTCTTTTGTTGTAAGTTTCACTAAATCAGGGTTATACAATAATATTTTTGGACGAAAGCAAATTGATGGTCATGTTGTGGTCACTAAATCAACAGTCAAAACAAAAAATATGTTACTTTAAATTTGATCCGGTTTGTAAAGCTAATAAATAACATAAAAAAAATAGATAAATACAAATAAAGGAAATCAAATCATCAAATTTTTAGTGAATAATTTAAGACTTTTCAACATCAAAGTAAATTTTATGGTTGACGCCAGTACTGCAGTTGGTCGCAGTAAAGACAGGGTAATATATTACATTCTTGCCGCGATTTCATAATATTAAAATCAATTTTCATCAAATTTCTGACCTAAAGTTCTATCTAATGTTTTCAAGAATATATTAGAAAGCTCATTAAAATGATTTTTTTGGAATAACTTTGTAACACTCATTGGTAGCAGGTAGCAGAGACGCACAGGTAGCAGTCTCTAGGAAAAAATAAATTGAAATTTTTTAATAAAATAAGGACCTGTGTTTTATGGTGCCCTTCTTACTCCATTTTTCAATTTTGCTGTAAATTATTCTTTGCAATTAAAACATAAGACTGTAATTCTGCTACAACATGTCTCAAAAATTTTTTGTGAACTTGAAAATATTTTGACCATCTCAACATTTTTGTAGTAACAATGATATCTTTTGAATATATTCTGATCATTTTTATATATGTATGTCATTTTTAAACTCTCGTATATTTTCCCTCACTGACACAAGTTTCGTTTTTCAGAATCAGCAAGATTTTATGCAAGCTTGTCTGCAAGTGATCGTCGAGAACTCTGCCCGAGCGAGAGTGGCAGATGGTCCAACTAAAATAAACATGATCAAACCAGAGCGTGAACCAATCTTCAACCGAGTCTTCAATATCCTGGAAGATGCTCTTCTCACACTAGACTCTGAAATAAATGTAATTTAGTATAACTATTTTCCGATAAAACTATTTAATTTTCACAAAAATAAATTCAACAACTATATAAAAGAACAAGTCGATCATTTGCACCAACGAATAAAACATTGATGGCCAAAAATAACCAATTAAAACCACCCGAAAAAAAAAGAATTTGCCTAATGGACCACTAGACGAAGTACGAATTTCAGCATTCTGATACATGATTCTTAACCAAAATTTCACTTAGAATACAACGCGCACAACGAAAATTACCGAAATAAACTCCTTATGAAGATATTTAATGATTCTTGATGTGTGAATTTAAACCACCCGCTCATGAAAACTCAATACTCTACGTGATTCACATCGCGCGCTAGACGTTATCATGTCAGTCCCTACGATATAAAAATCTGGCAACCTCGATCTTGACACTTTGGCTTAGCTATAGCAAATTGCTTATAGTTTGAACAACACATGGTGGGAAATGAACATTGCTCGATCGAGAAGCTTGCTGAAACCGTCGTAGTGCGCGATTTGACTCACGTAGAGCTTTGAGTTTCTCGTGAGCTGGCAGTTCAAAGTCCTTGGAACCAGTGTGAAATTAAAACGATAATATCTTCGTAAGGAGTTGGTTTCAGTAATTTGCGTTGCGCGAATCGTGTTCTACGTGCAACTTTGGTTAAGAAACATGTATTAGATTGTTTAAATTCGTACTTTGTCTAATGTTCCATTCTGTGTTTTAGCGGATCTGCGTAGATTTACCAGTCAGACGTGACGTCTCACGGCGAAAATAACTCGCGGAAAACGAATTTTAAAAGCTTACACATCCTGGCGTAGAGACATGATTGGCTAAATACTAAACCGATGGGTGTCTGGCCACCTTAACCCTCTATTCCATTAATTAATTTTGGATCACGGATTTTGAAATAAAAAAATTTTTCTGAAAGATCTTTGAAAAAAATAGAGTCCCAAATTTTTTTTTGAAAAATCTGGAGTTTCATGTGAGTGATAAGTCGACAATCTGGACACAGCAGTCTCGAGTGTTTTTGCTGTCGGTAGTCATGTATTCATGGAATTAGTGCCGGTAAAAAAAAATGCAAAACTATGAATTGAATCGAAAAAATTGAATCGCATGTTCGAATTGAATCGAGGATTGCATGAAAATTGGAGGTGACAATAAGCCTTTAGTTATGATTTGACATGGAAATCACACAATCTTTTCTGATTTCGTGGTAGTTACAGGTGTTGGAGCAGATAAATGCTTTCCTTAAAATGTGGGAAAAATAGTAAGTAATTTTTCAAAGTGTCTTTCATCAGAACCTATTGGTCAATAATTGTGAATCATTTTATTTAATTATGCATGTCTTTACAGATTGAAATGACAATTGGAGATCCAAAAAGTTCAGTGTCTGAGGCCCACCTCGCAGTTTTGTCAGATCCTAAGGCGATTTCACAGCTAAGTGCTATGGGAAATATTGAAAATATATATGTGCTTGCAGCCGTGCCCGACAGTAACTTCACGTGTGGAAAAGAATACTCGGCCATCTATGAACAAACTTTCGGATCCGAAAGGTTGTGTTTGTTCAAGAAGGTGAAACATATTGTTTGATGTTTGATAATGCATTAACTATGTGCAGATTGCGCCAGTGGAAGAAATCCTGTTTTGCGAACGTCCTCGAGGGAAAAAATCTCAGCAAAAGAAGAGAGTTTTGTAGAAAATTTGAAATTTTATTCATTTGGGTCCAAAAGTAAAAATTTAGACTGTCAACACAGAACATTTTTTAGTGTGCAATCTCCATGAAAAATAAGTATGATAATTTCAACTTCATTCCAGTCTTATTTTGAGGTCTGTAGTTGTAGTCGCGTGTATTGTTGACACGGCCAACTGATTGAATCAGCCTACCTCTGACTTGCGCAACCACAAGTCCGGTTAGCACTGGAATCGGTCGGGTACAGAGTCGAAATCATACAGAGTATGGTAACTTGTTTATTGAGACGGCAAATTTGCTCATTTTTGCGCCAACAGAGGACTCCATATTGCACTGCGAATCAATACTTTTTAAGCGTTTAACAATCCACATAAAAATTTCAGGTATCACTTCCTCAGGAGTACATTTTTTGGAATTGCAAACCCCAAACCGCTGGTTAATTACTTGCCTATCATAGGTCTGGACCTATTCCTCAATTCTGAGTTTTTCTGTGAGAAGTCATATTTTAAGGTAGAGTACCTATATTGAGAGAGTATGGCCACTAGAGTTACCACCTCTGATTGGCTCAGCCATCTTAGGCTGATTAGAGCCCTTAGGACCCAAAAATGGCGGACGCCATGAAGTTAATGTAATGCAAAATGATTCAAAATGTAGTTGTCTTTGCTTATCGTAACGAGAACTTTACCCAAATGCACTATTGCGACTTTTTTACATATTTTTAAGGCTAATCGTGTGCAATTTTTGAGAAAAATGATCTTAGATGTAGTAAGGTTGGCAGCAAGTGCGGTTGGTGATAACCGTCAAAAGTTGGCAATGACCCCCCTCCCATCCTCAAAAACCAAAACAAAGCACCGCCATTTTTGGGTCCTAAGCCTCTCCATGGGACCCAGTGGCCATACTCTCTTAATACAGGTACTCTATTTTAAGGAATATCGTGAAGTTTGAACTTCTTCCTCTTCATACTTTTTAAATATAGTTTTGTTTGTAATTCGCAGATTAGTTTATACAACGAACTGAAAACGTTTGTGGTCTCGAACAATTGGCGTGCAAGTTTGGATGCGCTGAAGGCAAATGAATTGAACAGGGGTGACACCGTAATGCTCGTCATGGAAAGGCCGTCAAGCATAAATCCCTTCTTCACAATCCGAGAGATACTATTGGAGCTTTCTCATGCCTATAAAGCAAAGTAGGTATTTCACTGTTTCATTTTCTCCTCCCCCCCCCCCCCCTAACATCATACATAATATGCACGTCTGTAATTGCTGTTCCCTGATTAGAAATGTCCTTTCCATTAGAAATCTTTTTTTAGTGTAAAGCCTTTGTGAAATAATTGCCTATTTTTTAATATGTAAAAACAAAATGGAAAATCGCTCTCCTCAACCCCCCTCCCTTAGGAGTGTTAAGTGTTTTATGAACGGCTGTAAGCAAAATTGACACACATGTGGACCGAGTTTATCTGAATGGAACCGACCTACATTAAGTTGGAACTGAGATAAAAAGGGTTGAAGTTGTATTCCTCCATAAGACTCATGAAGAAAATAAACCTTAGTCCCTCTTTTCAGAGACAAAATTTTTTTCGACTTTGAGTTTTCGGCAGGAGAAAATAAACGACTTGTGGCACTCAACAACAATCTTAACTACATTTTTGTGAAAATGTGGGCTGGTTCTTTTCGGATTCATACATAAAAATACGCGCATTAATATTTGACCTAACATTTTTGAGGCAGGCCAAATGATGCCCGTGCAGCAATGATTATCTATTTGAGGCTTTGTTCCTTGTGTTGTCTAAAAAAGACACCCATATATTTAGCAATATGCTGAGCTGAAGAGTTTTAACTTCCAGATGTTGCTTAATATTAGATGAATACGCGCCAAAATTCTCATCGTCCAACGATCTGTACGGGAAGCAATTCGAGAAGGATCTCGCTATAAACGTGCTCGAAAATGGCCGATGGGGCTGCTACCGGAAACAGCAAATTCCAAAAACGATTTTAACCCGCTTACTCCCGGCGATGCCAGTTGCTGATCGAGTTTCTGATGACGTTGATATTCAGTTTATTGGACTCAACGAGACAGATTCGGAAGGTGGTGAGGTAATCAGCATATTCATATTTAATTTATTTGTTGACCGAGTCCAGTGGCGTGACGTGTTTTGCGATTTATCGATTGATCTGTCATTTAAACCTATGGAAAAGGATCGATAAGCAGGTTGTTCGCAGCAAACACCTCAATAATCGATTCTTGACCATAGCTTCATTTGGAGAAATATCGATAATCGATCATTCACGTGTCACCACTACTGAGTTTTGGGCATTTTAGAGACTCTGCAGGCTGATTGTTGAAATTGATAGACAAAGCTATAGACAAAGAAGATAAATGGAGTATGAAGCAATCCTATCGGTTGAAATGGGTGGTTCTGATAGACTAAGGGGAAAAATAATGGACTATCTAAAGAGTCTCTTGTCGGTTGCCGTTATTTAGTCTATTACTTACCTCCTTTGTCCATTGCAACCACCCGCTCTCACCAATAGGATCCCTTTAAATCCATTTTCCCTTTTTTGTCTATCAATTTCAGCATTTAGCCTGCGCTAATAAGCTACCTAAGCAATCTAACCGATCAAAGCAAAAGTCAACGCTATAAGGCCGGGTTTAGCAGAAAGGAACCAAGCCACACCTGCTATTGACAAAAACTGGACCATTTAAGTTTTCACAAGACAACTATTGTGCAGATTCCAATGACAGTTTCAGAGAATTTACTTCGTAGTATTCAGAAATCTCACTGAAATATGAGTGAAAATTGCGCAGCCGTTTTCATGTAAAAAATTAAATTGCCCAAGTAAATTTGACAATAGCTGATGTGGCTTGGTTCTTTTCTGCTTAGCGTGGGTCCATATTTCGTCCAGTGATAGTTAATGAGTAACTTTTTGAGAAAATAATCAAATTAATTTTGAGTAACGATGACAGATATATGTCAAAGTTAGCGCTCTTTATTGCAAAAACGATTGGATTCCTAACAAAGTACTCAACTCTTTAAACATCAGTCAGCATTTGGTAAATACGATTGTTAATATTCGAAAGTAACTGGGTATTACACCCTAAGCAAAATAGCAGCACGGGATCTCAAAAATATATAGTCCATGATTATGGGTCATTTTTGTATTGTTTTTTCGCAAACAAAATACCTCGTCAAATCCTGATTGCCTGATTTGTTAGTTCAAATACTCCATCTCTTTGCAAACTTCGAAAATGCAAATATAAATAAATTCTAAAATGAAACTTAGCAGTTTTGAAATGCTTTAAAACTTTACCGGTTCATGGTCCTACAAACTTAAATTTTTGAGGTAACTCTGACCTGTTACAAAGGTACTGTAAATTTAGTTTCAGGTGTTCTCAAACTTTGTACTATAGTAATTGTTTAACTAACTAATCACGTGATCGTCAAAAATTACAGGGTGAAATTGCTGTTTTGGATTACTCTGGCATTACATCCTCTGGGGATCACGTGATGGGTATCGCCTGCAAGGAGAGTGGAGCTGGGAAAAAAGTTATCCTGGATCCAATCCTCCAATGGAAAATACCGAAGGACGTCCCATTAGATGATGCTGCTGCACTTCCATTTGCTTATTTGATGGTAAGATTCTTGGAACACAATTGATGCAGACAAAGGGACATGCAGAAGTGATAAAATAACGACACACAAGTTGGTTGATCAAACGATCAGCCTAGGTGACATCGTGCCTCTGCATTACGCAGAGTAAAACATAAGTATAAATACGTCTTGGTACAAAGTAACTATAAAAGCAGTAATTAAACGTAAAATATAAAGTTCGATCTTTAGCTGCAGCGTGAACAGACATACTATATTATAGAAACTTTGCATTCCCCATGAAGAGAAGAAACTATTTGAAACTTGACTCACGGTGCTCCATTTAAGCTCTTGCTTTATTGTAAGCATCACTAATAATAGGGGTATGTTTATCACTCAGTGGCGTGGCGTGTTTTGCGATATTTCGATTGATTTGTCATTTAAACTTATAGAAAAGGATCGATAAACAGGGCGTTCGCAGCGAAAACCTTAAAAATCGATTCTTGACCGATTTACGGACAGTAGGTCTACAAGAAAAACGGCTACAAAAAAAAAGCGCTACCCTCTTTGGTCTACAGTCAAAATGTCTACATGAAAATACCTATTAAAATAATGTCTATAGTAAAATATGTCTGCGGTGTTAAAATGTCTACGGTTTGACTGCCTACTCCGAAAATGTCGAAGTACGTATTTATGTCGTCTGATAAGACTCTCATTTGAACTGTTGAACTGTTGAACTCATTTGAGGCTGTGGATGCTGCAGAAGCTGATGCGTGAAAATTGTGAGTCACATTTCGCGAATAATTGATCCGATAAATATCAACATGTATATTTTATGTATATTTTATTTATTTTTTATTATATATATATATATATATATATATATATATATATATATATATATTTTATAAATTTTTAGTAGCCAACATAAATATTTTGACATTTTCTAAGTGGGCAAACAAACCGTAGATATTTTAATAGCGTAGACATATTTGACTGTAGACATAATTTTAGTAGGTACTTTAATGTAGACGTTTTGACTGTAGACTAAAAAAGATAGCCCCTTTTTTGTAGCCCTTTTTTCTGTAGACGTGCTGTCTGCATACCTCTTGACCATAACTTCACTTGGAGAAATATCGATAATCGATCATTCACACGTCGCCATTGTTACCACTACGTTAGTCATTTCACCACTAGGTTAATAAAATGATAACTTAATTTTAAAAATACAATTGGTCTTGGCTGCTAATAATTTTAATTTCATGGGGGAAAACCATGGTTAAAATTACTATGCTACCAGTGGGTATCCTGGTAATTTTAACCACGGATGTTTTCTCATTGTCTTTAAGCAATTTTAGACAGGGTATTTTGCAAGGTTTCGATAGAGCAAAAAAAGAGAAATGTGTTTTCCGTAAAAGTGCTCAAAAATTACGATGAGTACGTGTGCTATATCTAAACTTTACAACTTATCTCAGAATCTGTTCGAGAAGTTTGCTCATATTTTGGATGATATCCGCTTCAAAGAATACGCTATGGACAATATGCGATTTGATTAATATAGAGGAATCCTGAAACGTTTTAACGGAGATTAACTTTAACCATCAATTTCGCGCAGCTGATGCCATTCAGGCTTTTAAAAAGGCGATGTCTACGACTTACACAAACTCATATCGATGGTGAAACTAAAAGACCACGTATTTTGTTTGTGGTATTCAAAAATCTCAACACCCATTTAATTTTTTTGAAGGAATACATATCGATATCATTCTTCGAAGTTTTCATTGAGTTTCCTTCACACAGAAGATAAACCACAGAATTTTTCAAGAATTGCCTTTGAGTAGTTTTTCCATTAAAAAAGAAAGCATGACAGGAATTCTGCAACGTCGCGAACCAAGGTACGTTGCCTGGTAGTCTCACCATCTGTATGCGCTAAACGTGTGCAATGTATCCGCAATAAGCAAACTTTCACTCATCCTAATGCTTCATTACTCATCGCTTTGTTTCCTTCCAGGCAAACTATGTTATAAGAGATTGCTTCAAACCGAAAGTTTTATCAAAAGTAGTATTAGTGTACAACGGACACACAGCCAATGGATTGGCCCAAATAGCTGTTGCCCTCGCTGAAGGTTACACAGTTCATACAACAGTTCCCGATGATGAAGCGAAAGGGATAATCCGGCGCTTATTCCCGAAGGTTAATGGCTTTTTTTAACTATCAAATAGAATCGCAAGCATTCTACGAGTTTTTTTCCATGTGGATCAAGAAATGAAAAATTTACCGAGTTTATCTGTCAAACTTTTACGTTGAGGTCAGTAAAATGAGAAGTTTTGAGCGAACTATCGATTTCTCAGTTTTTGATACTGCCGTCTGCCCGAGATGGGGTTCTAGCAAAAACATGTAGAGCGCCTTCAACTCCTCGAATATGCAACCTAGACATACCATGAGCACGAATAGTTGCATCAAGGCGTCGAGATTGCCTTGTCGCTCCGTGGGCTGTGAATTCAAAGCGGTTTCTAAAACATTAGATCTCCAAAGAGGAGGTTCCATATTGGCGCGTATACGTAGTATACCGCCTTTGCGATCGTTTCGAACCCTACTCGATACAATAACCGAGTCCCTTAGTTCCTTACCGAAAAGTGACTACCGCGAACTTCTGAGATTTTCCAAAGCGTGTAAAAAGTTTATTTATCCATCAATAATTATGATTTAAAGTTGTTTCTCATTCTGGGGCTCATTAGTTTATGTGCAGTGAATACCAAGAGTCTACGTTACTTGGTTTTTTCAAAAAAAGCCTAAGAATGCGACGCGCTGATTTAAATTATGCATATATAAGCAGAATCAAGCGAATTGATTCGAGGATGGCTGAGCAGGTCGGCACTCTCGAAATGAGAATTTAACTCCTCCGTTTTGTTCAAAACGTTGCTTTGACAGATCTGTAACCTCGGTTATAATTTCCAAAAGTTGGTACCCGTGCTCTGATAGTGCAATCTGTGTAAGTGCAATCTGTGATGAGCCTCGAGACTCAATAGACCATTAGCTAAACGTGGCTCATACAGGAATCCACTTACCCCTCTCTTTCCCACGCTCCTGCTCACTGCGTCGGCGTCTCGACGAACAATAGCTAATGACGGTTGCCAAGCGATGCCGGGATCCTCAGCCCGGATCCAAGTATAAAATTGGTGATGTATTACTTCGCCACTTCGTCGCATTCCTTTCCGATTTCCAACCGTATAGAGTCAATCCACCGTTGAAACAGCAAATGATGAATAGGAGTCACGAGAAACCATGAGTGTCATATGAAAGCGTGCTATAATCGGGTCATGTACTGCGTAAAGCAAGAATTGCACCGTCTGATTACTTTGCTCTCATTGGTTATCCCTTATGTACGTCATGATTGATTGCCTCCGCATTTACCCCATTTTATCGGTTGGTGTGCTCATCTTCTTAGAGTTTGTCTATACTTCTTCGCCGTTGCCTAGTTCCCGATTTCACTGCTATGTCTGTCCGCCATTTTTGCGAGTAGATTCCGAGCTTCGTTTTTCGAGTCCTGTTCTTTTCTTTTGCGTGATTTTCATCGTTTTATTGAAAGTTTCAAGTGTGCATCTGTCTTCCTGCACATCCAGCAACATCCACGGTAAGATTATTTTATATTTACTGCTGTATTTATCATCCACAGTTCGTCTTATACATGGCTCTTTGTCTACAAGGGAATTCAGCCCACTATGGCATCAGAGTAGTGCTATTGCATCAATAAGTGAACATGTGATTCTCATTACCTTCAATCCACCGGGCAATATCACCTTGAATGAAGAATCAAAATTTTTCATCATCTTATTTATTTAATGTGACAATTAGACCAAAGTCCCGTAACCCCTTCTTGGAAGGAAGCCCATTTGGTTCACGTCACTAATTACTGAACATATCAATATTGGGGCTATTTTCAATCTAAGTGATGGATCATGCTGTATACTTTGGAAATTTTGATACAAGTTCCTATCATGGGGTTAAGTGAAACTTATTCGAAACATACATGTCAGTACTAGGTTTGTATATCAATTATACCACAGTAAACAACCAGACTTGATCAATACCATTGTTGAGGTATCGTTTTAGATGCATTGTTAATCTCAGCCGACTTAAAAGTACGAAATTGCATGATGCCATCATGAGTATGACAAAAAAGTAGACATCCAGCCGCTATTCCAGCAATTGCGTTGTTGCGGTTAAGCCAGTTGTGTAGCGATGCCCAGAGCTCACTGGTTCACTGGCCAACTCGTCAGTCTCACAGTTGCTCAGCGCACCATCACATAGTATTGAATCATTGTGACCGTTTAATTTTAATTTCATCTATTCAATAATTTTCTTAAGTAAGACATATGAATTGATTCTTCCAAAACCTTTGATGATTTTCCAAATAAAACTCCTCCTGCATTATTTGTTATCGGCAGCATGTAGGTAATATAATGGATGGCATTTAACATTGTATTTTTCAATCCTCTATCAACAAGCCATAAGTTTTTCTTCATATCTAATTTTTCCCCAATGCTTTGAAGATGAGAATTAAATTTTTTTTTGTGAAATGCTTATCTTAGCTAAATAATTTTTTTGCAGATGGTTCGTAAAGTAGCGCCAAGAAAAAGAAAAAACTTCCAAAGCGAGAAAAATACTCCGCAGCGCAAGGTGCTTAAACTTCAACATGACGAAGCAGAAAACCCTTTAAACGTGAGTACTATGATTTTGTCATGGGAACGGAGTTCCCCATGATATTACAATCGTTCCGTTGCTTTCGCTATGGGATTCCCTATACCTCTGCGACCTTGAGCGTTTCGCCCAGTCTCCGATTTTTGGTTGATTTTCCGATGTATCAAAAACCGTTGTATTTTTTAGCCAATCATGTCTCTACGTCAAGTTGTGTTGATTCCTAAAATTCGCTTTCAGCGAGTTTTTTTCCACCTCGAGATGTCGTGTCTGACTGGTAAATCTGCGCAGAACCACGAAGTTCCGTTTTTAGGCAAATTCTTTTTTTTGGGAGGTTCTGATTGGTTATTTTTCGCCATCAGTCTTCTGTTCGTTGGTGCAAAAGATCGCCTACCTCGTTGCTCTTGAGAAGCCGCCATTATCCCACCTCAAATTTTAAACATAGATATGTCACTTTTGCAACTCTGCTGCATTCAATCCTTTCAAAATTAATTCTGCATTCAATAATTCATGAAAATTTAGTCAAGATACTTTCTAAATTGCATCTGAGCAATATTGAGAGTGTAAAATCACATCTCACCTATCTGCCTACTATGTTATCATTTACATTATAATAATCATTATTTGCCGTCGTAATCTGTATTTTTCTTTTATAATCATATTTCCAGAAGATACTGATATTGACGATGTCATCTCCGAAGTTGATGAACAAGGTAACAATAAGAAGAGTACCTGGCATTTTAACGGTAAGAAAAAATTTAAATGCGAATACAATATACACTTGTAAGTTGATGGTGTAACTGCAGCAATACATATCTCCATTTGCAGCGTTGCAGAATTCCTGGCACATTTTATTTTCTACTTCGAAAACTACTGAACATCATGGTTTCAAAATTTCAATGATTTTCCTTTTTTCTATGAAGAATATTCTATGAAATCTTCAAGCCATGATGTTGGTTTTGTCTCCTTTTAAAATATGAAATTTTTGCAGAAATTTTGAAACACTGAAACCAAAATACGCATATTTACAGTTTCACAGTCAAAATATTACTTTTTTAAAATATAACATACAATATTCTTTTTGCTTCAAGAGAAATAGATTAATGTAAAATATGAATCAACTGTGGTTATGCATAACTGTGCATCGCTGATGTGCTTGTCTAGATCATTTAATTATTTGTACCTTAACACAAATTAAGAGGATGTGTTCAATGATTAAGCCTCCTTTTCCAAACCAATGAAAATATGCCTGACCAAAAATAATCCACCCTCAAAATATTTTCTCCACTATTCTGCCGTGCTAAGGAAAAACGCCATATGAACCTCCAGACATTGCCAAATCTCCTTCGACAAATCACTAAATTTCAAGGCAGTTTGTAAATATTTTTCTTTCAATTTCTCAAGTATTTTTGCTTGCAATATCATCATAAAAGTCTGCAAATTTCTAGAAAAAATATTGATAATTATCGTCAAAAATAAACATTTTATTGGAGGAAATTAGGCAACTCCCTAATGTTCATACAACATTCTTCCTTGGCATGGCAGTATCGTCTATCCTGGTTACCTCCTTTTTGGTTTCATTCATGTTCAATATCATACGAATAGTAATTACGTGTCTTATCACTGATGGACAGAAACAGGCTCAAAGAAATCATGAAATGTATGTACTATTCTTAAATAACATGCTCTCTCCTCCGTTTCTCTATAATTATTGAAGAGTTAAAATATCAGCAAGTATCATGGGTTTTTATTCCTGTAATGACATTTCTTTCCTATTGATTTCTATATCTTCATTTTTTCATGTAACTATTTTCAAAATTCATTTCTTATTTTATATTGTACATTATGTTTCATAAACATTAGATGAGTCTGCAGTAGACGTAAACATGCCGATCACACAAATTAACACAGACAAAAATCAAAAGCCTATAATTGGTAAAGTAGTCTCGCTTACCAGTCTTGCTTCCTATAAAAGCCCCCAGAAAAATGGACTAATAATTAAGTCCATCCTTCAAGATATGTCTGGTCAAATGGGCCTGTTGCAAACTTTTGCTAGAGCAAAACTAAGAGTTGTTTCTTACAGATAATGCCTCCAAAATCACGATAAGCGCATCGGTAAAGTCTGAAATGCACTCACAACTTCACAATCTGCCTAAGAAATTTGCGGTTTTTTGAGCTTCCCGCTTCGAAAACGATACTACGGTACAGGTGAACATTTTGTTAGAGGAGCCGTTCCATTGGCGGCAATACTCATCATGGCCGACGCCAGTCCGCCAAAACACGTGTGATGGGACGAGATAACATCTGAACAGGATTAAATCAGATAACAATCGGCGTGTTTACGTTTATATTTTCCTCGCCCGCCTTAATTGATCTTGAACTCTCCTCGAATTACTCGCGGAACTGCGCAAGCGTCGGCCATGATGAATATTGCCGACGATGGAGGGACTCATCTAACAAAATGTTCACCTGTGCAGTAGTATCGTTTTTGAAGCGGGAAGCTCAAAATAACGCAAATTTCTTACGCAGATTGTGAATTTATGAGTGCATTTCAGACTTTGCCGATGCGCTCATCGTGATTTTTGAGGCATTATCTATAGGAAACAACTCTTCATTCTGCTCTAGCAAAAGTTTGCAACAGGCCCATTCTGTTAACAGGATTCAATGAACAAGCTGAAAAATTAGCCTCAATTTTAGAATTGAATGAAAGTTATCAAATATCGAAGGCAATAGTAAAGCCTGCTGCACCACTCTTTAATAAAACAAGTCATCCCTATGAATTAATTGCGTCCCAGAAAACACAAATCGAACGAGTCAGCAAAAACAAGGTCAATTTGCCTGATGTCACTCACAATTTTGCTGCATTTGAAGACATTAATAATAACTTGATTCCCCAAAATACTATTGTTCATGTCGAAGGCACTGTTACTGAAGTATTTTCTGCTTCCTCCGGCATAAATACATATCAGAAACCATATGAACGCAGAGCAGTAACACTTACAGATTATGCTGATAATAAACTTAATCTTATTTTATGGAACGCCAATGTTAATATAATTCAGAAAGAGCATATTGGCCGCAGAGTCAAAATATTTGACACGAAAATTTCCTTATTTCAAGAAGCTGTCTATGTAAATGCATCCAACTCTAGAATGGAAATAGATTATTAATGACACACTTCTCCAATTTTTATCAGTACAAATTCTTAACTTCATAACAAATTGATAACTTGTAAATTTTACAAATATTTATTAAAATTTATATCTTTTAAATTTTTCATTCAGTATTCTTTTATAAATAAACAATGTATCATTTTCTCATATATGTCCAGTTTTTATGTAGTCTATAAATATAATGTTAATAAAATCGTCTCATTTTTACAATAACTGCGTACACATTTGTTTTAGATCACAAACCTGAGTGCCTTAGAGATATGACAGGATTTTTTGGCTCCTTTATTGTGACAAGTGTGCAACATCCAAGGTACGAATTATTGACGCGCCATATCAACACTTTGTGTTGGATATCTCTGCTTGTCATTAATATTGCAATTAGAGATTTAAGGAGGGTTTTAACATAATAACTCCGAGGAAACGACGAGGTGCTTGATCCTCATTTGCAAAGCATTAAAAATATTTTTTTCAAAATCTACGGTTTGTTCTTCAAAGTGATCTCGCCGTGTGAATTTGGTAAAAGTTATTTTTTGCCCCCGGCCCCTCCCCACAAATTCCGGCGTGCCGCAAAATGACTTGACACGCACAGAGAGACCATTGAGATGGTCAACGGTCCCCGTGTAAATTTAGGATGGAATTGAACAAATAGAGATTGAGATTTGGCTGTACATAGAAATCAGGGGCGCCGGACGGACGGACTGATTCGTTTCTAAGCATGGTTTTTTTTACTCCAGCGGGCTGATTATTGAAGTTCATAGACAAAACGATAGACAAGGAAGAAACAGGGAAAATGAAGCGATCCTATTGGTTGAAATGGGTGGTTCCCAGAGACTAAAGGAGAAAGTGATAGACTAATTGTAGGGTCTCTCATGAGTTGCCGTTAATCAGTCCATTACCTCCCTCATTCGTCTATTCCAACCACCCGCCTTCACCAATAAAATCCCTCCATACCCCTTTTGTCCTTTTTGTCTATCGCTTTGTCTATTGATTTCAATAATCGGCCCGCAGGCACACTAAAACACGTATGAATGACGAAATTTAATTTGTCTTCGGGGGGGGGGGTGAACGTACAATATGAACGTACAATCATATAGGAAAAAGGGAAAGGAAAGGAATGACAGGACAAGTAGATGCAATACAATGGAGAGACGTCACTATGGAAACTCATACAGGGGGGGGGGGGCAATACTTCCTTGATCCCCAAAGGGAGGTGAGAAAGTAACGAATAATTTTGTTAAAATCAAAGAGTTATCTCCTGTATACCTCTTTTAGATTCCAGAGTGGCAGATCAGCAACCACAACGAACCGAACTACTATACCTCGTTGATGCGGGCCACCCGTGATCGACTTGCGGGTGCCGGAGCGGACATCGTGATCAGCGACCTGCCCCCGGAGAAGATGCTCGTCGCGTGGACTCTCGTCGCCCAACTAGGCTGCTTCTACAATCTCAGCGATGAGGTCTTCAAGCACAACGTTCCACTGCCCATGAACAAATTCATTTACAACACCAGCTTCGTCAGCTGCACCAAGGCTAATATTATCGCCATGCCTCCGGAGAGGAAACGGGTCTTGAAAGGGATCGTTGACGAATTCCTCAGGGATGGTCAGGTCGTCCGGCTGCCATTCGAGACTCTGTCAGTGGAGAACATCAGCTCGAAACCTAGGTGAGAAACAACTGAGTGTTCCTCATTTGGACGTATTTCAGTTAAACGGAACTAAGCGCCATGGAAAAGCATCGCGAGTATAGGACGGAACGAGCATCGCGTTCCGCAACACCCCCGCCAATCCAAGCCCCCCCTGCCCCTTCCTCTCCCTATGGCCAGGACCGGATTTACATTTTTAGCGCCCTAGGCTAAACTTAGGGTGGCGGTCCTAAAAGTAGGCGCTCTCGTAGGAGGGGGGGGGGAGTGCCTTTGTGCCTATGACACGCGAAGGAAATACATTTGTCAACCACAACGTAGACATTTTTAATAATTCACGTTTTTGAATAAATTCTCAAAAATTTTGCGCCCTAGGCTATAGCCTATGAAGCCTATTGGTAAATCCGGCCTTGCGATGGCACTCAGTTCCGTTTGATAGAAATACGTCAATTTCAAAAACATTTTTATCATTATTATTGTAGTATGGTACGGTTTGAACCGTGGGTTTTACAGTTCATCTGTGAGGAAGCAAGCTTTGCTGGAAACAGGAGAAAAATAAGGGAGAAGGGGATGGAAAACACGGCTAAAAACACAACACTCAAAACCAGAGACATTTCGAATCAAAATTGAGCCATTTTGAGTCGGATTATGCATTAAAAATAAAAAAAATCGAAGAATCTGTGACCTACATGTTGGTGACCGAGGTCTGGGTCGAGTTGGAGGTCTCAAGTTTTTTTTTTTTTTTTCTTCGATATTTTTTAATTTTTAATTTATTTTCCGACTGAAAATTACTCAGTTGTGACGTCTTCGGTTTTTACTTCGTATTTTAGCCTTGGTTTCCCGTTTTCCCCCTTGCTTTTGTCCTGATACCACTGTCTCGGGCAGCTTCGTAAAAATGTGTCTCTTTGCTGGAAATCGTGAGTTATCACAAGTTCTACGATTAAAATAGTTCATAAGCATAGCAGATGGTGAGGATGTTTTGGATACATGCTTGTTGACATCCATTCAGTTGTCATATGGAAATTCCTGTAGCAAAGATAACCGCGGCTTGTCGAATGCGGATTTTTTTAAGAATCGGAGCATTCGTTGCATAAAGAATCATGTCACCTTCCGTCGAAAGTATCACAAGCGCTATGTGACGTTTCAAAATTTCCACCACAATGGACCACTAGATAAGGTACGAATTTCAGCATTCTGATTCATGTTTCTTTACCAAAATTTTACGTAAAACACGATGCACACAACGAAAATTACCGAAATTAACTCCTGACGAAGATATTTAATGATTCTTGATGCGGAAATTCAAACCACCCGCTCATGAAAACTCAATGCTCTACGTGATTCACATCGCGCGCTAAACATGATCATGACAGTCTCTGCGATATAAAAATCTGGCAACCTCAATCTTGACGCTTTGGCTCAGTTATAGCAAATTGTTTATAGTTTGAACAACACATGGTGGGAAATGAACATTGCTCGATTGAGAAGCTTGCTGAAACCGTTGTAGTGGGCGATTCGACTCACGTAGAGCTTTGAGTTTCTTGTGAGCGGGCAGTTCAAATTCCTCGTAACCAATGTGAAATAAAAACGTTAATATCTTCGTTAGGAGTTGGTTTCAGTAATTTTCGTTGTGTGAATCGTTTTCTACGTGAAATTCTGGTTAAGAAACATGTATCAAATTGCTTAAATTCGTACCTTGTCTAGTGGTCCATTTTATTTTTTTATAGAAAAATTGTTGGTTGAATCTGTTTGAGAATGTCACTGAATTTTCTTTATGCTGTCGATAAAATTCAGTAAAATTTTCAAACAAATTCAATCAACAATTTCTCCGTGAAAAAATAAAACTCCGTGATCTCCTCCTCCACCCCTTGTCGCCAACCTTTCACAGGACGTCCACGCCGTCGCCTTCCGGGAGGGACCCAATCGAAAACCTGCTTGGGCAACCGATCTTTAATTTGCATCTTATGCAAAATATGTGTTTGCTCAAGAGAGATATCTTTGATTTAAAGGCTTTCTTTCTTATTTGTTTATGGAATAAACTACTTTCAAACTGAAAGAAAGTATTTTCAAATTAATAAGAGTGAAAAAGAGTTTTATTTGTGATGTTGGTATATTACCATATGTTTCATTTTCCAGAATTATCAAAGAGAGCCTTCAATCTGGTGGTAAATTACTATTAAAATTACAAAGCAACATTAAAAACAGAAATAATCAACAAATAAGCACAAAATGCACATCCTGTGACCCAGACGGTACCTACCTCGTTTTGAGTGAGTATCATTTTATTTTGTCGATTTAATAATTATTTTTCGTGTTTTCTCTGCACATTAATTACCCCCATATATACGCATTAATAATAAGGAGATAGTCATACAATGAATCAGTGTGTATATTGCCAGAATGGTGACGAGCATGACTAGAGTTGAATGTATTTATGCTGAAACGAACTGTGTGTACAGAGTTAGCACGCAACATAGTTCCTTTTATCATAAGTGCGTCCAATTAAATTTAGAAAATGTTTACTGTCCACGCAGCAGTGTGGCGGAGACTCACGATGTATAGAATAGGGAGATGAGGAGGAATGTGTGCAGGGTCGTTGCACATAAAATTGCATTTTAAAAAAACCAGCAAACCCATTAATACTAGCTTAAAATAGCATTTCTGAGGGAAGAAAAAACTACTCAAAATCTGACCAATCAAAAACCGTACACCGAGTTTGCTTAGCAAGGCGATGCTTTAAGTTGGATTTACCCAATCAGCAAATAACGTTCTTCCCGCCTAGCTACGTCACCCAAGCCCGTAAAAAATATCGTTTCAAAACGGGCCCTTTTATGGTATTTCAAGAAAGTGTTTTTTTTTTTTTTTTTTTTTTTTTTTTTTTTTTTTTAATATTTATAGGGTTAAATTTGTTTTAAGAATAATCGTAGAAGCTTAGTCACCCCGTACTTTCAGAATATAAATTTAAAAGATATGTGCCCGATTGCCCTATTGCTTAAACTAATAGAGTCACCTTCCGGCCAAAGTATCATAAGCGCTATGCGAAGATTAATAATATCCGCTATCATTTCATTTTTTACAGAGAAATTGTTGGTTGAATCTGTTTGCAAATTACACTGAATTCAATCGGTAGCACAAAGAAAATTCGGTCAACTTTTTGTAAAAAAATAAAATGGCTGTGGAAATTTTTAAACGTCACATGACGCTTGGGTTATGGGACATTTCGTCAACGATTTTTTGTCCGCGCACCAGTTTTTTTCCAGTAATTTACGTCCACGCCTTTTTTCGGCACGGGAGTTATGGTCCACGTGCCAGTTGAGACCCGAGGTTAATTGGCCCACATGTAATTACAAACGACAATTGCTCACGACGTTTTTGGTTGCAAATGTATAATGTCTTGGAAAAATGAGGGTTTGCTTGTTTTTTTGTTTTGTCTGTTTGGTCCAATGGAGAATAATATACAGTTGAGAGTTTTGGTAAAAATGGGAGAGCGTCAATTCCATGAGACGAAATTCACTAAAACTCTCTACACCTCTTTGGTGTAACAGGAATTAATTATCTTTCAAGAAATTCTCACCTTGTTATACCTGAAACGGATAAACCTCTATATTTGCCTCAGCTAAAGGCTCTTGGATTTTTCCTTTGTACGATAAGTATCTTGATTTATTTTACGAGGAAATATCTGTATACTTTTAAAGGATGCCTGTCATTCTTGATACGTTCAATTTCGTATAATACTGTGCAACACCTCTGTTGTGAATTAGTTGCTTCAGGCGGGCGGCCAGCACGAAACGCGCATTGGCGCCTACAAACCTAAGTGGATACTTCAAGAATTGCGCAATGCGTGAAGTATCCACTTAGATTTGTAGGCGCCAGTGAGCCTCTCGCGCTGGCAGCACGCTGCTCTGCTCTGTTAGGCTTTAATATCTATTCTCGCATAGTCAGCGTTTTTTAACTCATGATTTTGAAATTTTTGCACACTCTGCATTAGTTATTCTCATTTAAATTGATGGGGAAAAAATATGTATCAATTTATCAAAGGAGGATAATAATATAATGTGTGTTTTTTAAATATTGGTGGTTCCGTGTCAAATTTAATGATTTCCAAAGTACTTTCATTTTTTCTTTTACATTTTGTGCATTTCTTTGTGCATTTTCAAATGTGTTACATTTTCTTTTTATTGTGCTGCAGTGTAAAATTTTACGTATTTGACTCTAAAAGATCGATGCACAATTGGGTTAAAACTAAAGATTGCGTGCTGCTTGGTTTTTTTTTTCTCTCTTTTTTTCATTTTTGCAGTTTCTGTCGGCACAACTGCGGCTGATTGAGATTAATGTCACTTGGAAAAGGTTGTATAAATATTCGTCACGTTTTAAAAATATAAATGTTTTAAAAATGAAGTAATAGTTTCGTAAAGAAAAAATTTAAAAAAATACAAAAAAAGTACCGAAACATATATAAGGTATATTGTACATCGAATATTTTAAGAACAGAAATAAAACCAAATATTCACAAATGAAAATTTAAAAATATGATTCAAAAGGAGAAAGTAATAACATTTCATTTAGAAAACAACACCTCCTTCTCTCTCAATTTCTCATTTCCATATTGCCAATATAATTTTACATACCGACTAAAATATAACGCTTGGACCAGGTCATTGTTGCTTATTTTACGTGTGGGCGTAAACTACTGGACAAAAAAGGTGCACAGACAAAAAATCGTTGACAAAATGTCCTGAAACCGACGCTTGTGGCACTATGGCCGGAAGATGACGGCATTGTTCATAGGTTGATTTTGCCACATCCTGGATTATCGTCTTACGCCAAGCATTTTCGGCAGGTTCTACCATTTCGAAGACGGCAGGTGTGATCAAATGGTTGCTAACGCAAGGCGCGAAGAGTATCGCAATCGCGACGACGAACAGGGCTAGCGGGATGAACGCCGCAAGGGAGATCGACGACTGTATCGTGAAACACGGCGCGACCGTCCTCATGACAGGCGGGGCCAAAGCGGCCACCATTGAAGAGGCCACAGCCCTCGTCGAGCAGGCCTCCAAGCTCAGCAGGGTAGCCGCAGTCTTCACCATAGGCCTGGTAAGAAAGGGAATGTGTTATAAATGGCGTTCGAACTAAAAATATTTGTAGGAAATACATTTTATGAATCGGAAGGGGGGGGGGGGTAGGAGCTTACTCCTCCAGTTTAAAATATTTCCAAAAAAATTGGTGCGAATTGAAAATTATGGACATTTGCGAAGTTTCTCGATAATTGTTATTTCACCTACCTACTTTGACATTAGTTTTCCGTAGAGAACTTCTTAAGTTTTACCTGTATAGTATCAGAATCAGAGGAATATATATCCATATTAAATTAAGAATAGTGAAAAGACTAGAAAAGCATGCGCTTTCGATATGCCTACTAGTGGGAGTAAGGAAAGAATAGAAGGGACAATATGAGGCACCTGAAGGACAAAGCGATTAAGTACAGTTTCTTTTTTAAAAAAATTGAAATATACACGAGTTCAACTAATTAGATCAGTTCTAAAATACAATCTTCAAAACAATATGTTCAGCTCTAAAGTCTAATTTATAAGCATCAAAAGGTGAGTTAAACTTTTTTTTCGTCATGAAGCTTTATGCAAGTTCAAAAATTTAAATTCGAATCCCTTCAAATATCACTAACTGCACTTATGCGACTTGTCTTCCAAGCTCCTCAAAATGCCACATCAAAAAATTGCAACATCAACAGAAATTTATTTGCTAACCAAAGGGCCGACTGATGACTGATGAATCCATGTTAATGTGACTTTTGCCTATTCTTTTCTCTTCTCGGTTCCGGGAAGGCAACATTTTTTCTAATGATCATTAATCAGCTTGATTGACCTTCTACTCACCCTTTTTAGGATTCCAACACAACAATAGTGAGTAACATTAAGCAAGTGATGAAGAAAATGAAATTGCCGGGCCCACTTGTTAATTTACACGGTAAGAACTCCCGGATAGTACCAGACACGATTTCGATTGCCTGCGAGGGCAACGTAAATTACGATCAAGTTCTAAGTCATGCCATGACCAACCCTGATGAAGCGGCAGCTTATGCAGTCACAGAGAGAGCACGGAATAAAGACACTAGGATTTCAGGTACATGTATGCAGATTGTTGAAAATATCGTCAAATCGTAGTAGTAGAATAATTGGATTGCATTTTGTAAAAAGGAACCAAGAACATTTCAATGTCACTAAGATTGTGCATCTGTTTTTACCTTGCAAGTTTAATCTGATCATCTAAACAAGTTTCATCTTTACTCCCAATAAACTAAATTCAAGACGAAAATTACCCACGTAAGTTTATTTTTCGCCTTTTTTCAGTAATATTATTGCAAAGCATGTAAGTTGCACAATTTTAGCAACATCCAAATGCTCTTGGTTCTTTTATGCAAAATGCAACCCATTTATACTTTTGTCACGACGATTTATTGGACCGAATATAATGATTTATTTCAATATTGGCAGGTGATAGCCTAAAAATGAACCAACCCTCTTTAACCCTGAGATGTACGAGACTTTTTCAAACGCTAGGTCTCAAGTTGGGTCAAATTGAACCAACACAACATGGATGTAGAGTGAGGGGACAAGGATGCGCGTTTGTGACGCCGCAGAGATACAACTATTCGCGCTTGATGGATGTCCGTGTTGCATCTGAAAACTTGAAGGCGCGATGGCGCGAGGCGTGAGCTGTCAATGCTCCGCTCTATTCTGCCAATAAGTTGTCGCTTCGATTTGGAAGAAAAATGTAAGAACCAAGAACTTATGTGCGGATTTTTTTAAAACCTTAAGGAATTTGCTTCTTACAGTACAGAAAATTCACAGAAATTTGTACAAAAATCCGTACATCCGTTTTCGTGTATACAATTAAATTGCTCTATTGACAAAAGCAGATGTGGTTTGGTTTCTTTCTGCTCAATGCGTCCCAAATGGAAAATTACTTGCTATCAGCTGGGTGCGTACGTAAATATTTCTGCACGGAGGGCCACGAGAAAAACGAGTTTGCGTCGGAGACACAAAACGCGGGCAGGTCAATTTTTGTTACCTAGCTTTTTTGCGTCCCAAACCTGCCGGATTGAGGCTGATACGCAAACCAGGATAAGTTGCAGCCCCAAACCAGCAGGTGAGGGACGCAGAAAAATTAGATAACGCCAAATTGACCACTCGTCTTGTGTTTTTGACGCAGATTGGTTTTTCCGTATACGTTTTTTGGCCTACCTCAAAAATTGAAGGAGTAATGAGGATGAACGTCACTTCTATGCATACCTTCCTCATGTGAGTTCTCCTCTCCAGAATCTTCAATCAGAAAATCCCTTCTTATGCTTTGCACTTTGTGTTACACCTCGTTTATTGTCCCTCAGTTTTAGATCAAAACACCCGGCGAACTCAAAAACTCACGGACTACCTACCATCCTCACTGGAAAATCTTGAAGAGATGGGTCGGCTTCTGACCTACAACGATTCGACCTGTGATACTCAAACGCTAGCTAAGTTTGTTCTAACCACAACCAAAGCTCCCTTCGACAAGCTTTACAAAGAAATTAGGCCCGTTTTTGTCATACCGGCATTCTGTGAGACTCAGATCAGGCCCCTTATTTCTAAGCTCATGTATCCATGTTTCGTGGCCCACATTAAGCCAGATGTGCCAACAGTCAACCAAGTAGCTCTGCATTTACTTAAGGTAACTACCCGAATGTTAATGAGAATTCAATTATTTCTATAGAGTTTATTCCTCAAACAAAAAAACCCGGTCTGCTAGTATTGAAAAACTAGTACAGAAAAACTGGTTTTGATATTTCTACACAGGAACTGCAAGAACGCGTATTCCGTTTTCTGTGTTTTAAAATCTTTTCTCACATTTTATTTTTATCTTAACGAAATTGTTTGCATTACTGTATGAGTAGATAACGGGGTAGAAGAAGGAAGCCTCCAAAGAAGATGCTTGATTTGGGTTTATCCTGGGAGAAAATGATGTGTTGCCCAGTGGAAGGATGGCGACAGGGGTTTTACCTGAAATTTTTTTAATAGTACGGTGGCTAGTTGCAACTTAGTGGCAAATCGTGATACAGTTTAGCGGTTTTCAGGGGTCAAAGTAGATGACATTTTAAGAGTTTTGAGTCGAAGAGGCATTTCAAATTAAGTGGCAGATCCAAGATGGCGGCCATTCAAAATGGCGTCCGGGCGCGTACTTTGAACCGCTATAGATCGAGATCCACTGAACCGATTTAATTTTTCTTTTTTTTTGTTTAAAAGGTAATTTACAAGTAAATATTATAAAATCACAAAATTTTTTATTTTGACAATAAACAGGGTGTTTTTTCCACAAAAACCGGTTTTTGTGCATTGAAAAAAAAAACGTTTAACCCATGTAACTTTTAAAATTGCATTATCAATGCCACTTAAAATATGCATCACGTTCAAGAGCGTGATTTAAGCTTTCCAACGATATATTACATGATGGTCTATAATTTAAGGATTTCGCACCACTGCGATCCGCGCGACGGCGACACAGCGCGGACCTGCATAAATTAATCCAGGGGCATATGTTAAAAAGAAGCCTCCCGTGGAATAGTGAATGGAATAAGTGTGGAAAATGGCCTAATCTCTTCAGTTGATGTGTAGAAAAATAATTTTGATGTTGTCAAGCTCAATTTTGCGTCCAACCCCTTCCAATTCAAGATGACGGCCAAAATGGGGGCTCGGGGGTTGAAGATGTCGGAATTTGTTTTTAATGTCGTGTAAGGGGTCTATCACTATGAAACTTTGGTCGTAGAGTCCGAATTTGAGGTCCAAAATTGTCTCCGGCTCAAAGGGATGCCCAAAATCCAATATGGCCGCCAAAATTTCCACGATAGGGTCAAATCTCCGAGAGTTGCGTAAAACTGCCGAGTAGGATATCTTTCATAGGGTTTTCTGGGTCGTAAATTTCACCGATGAGGTCAGAATTTCACTACAGGTTTATTGAAGCCCAAAAATTTCAATATGGCGGCCGACATGGCTGCCGCTCAGATAGTGAGAACGGTAGAGAAGTTCCCATGCACACAATGATGAATTTTCGTGCATGTTACGTACTCCGCTGATTCCGTATGTAGTCATCTAGTACATCGGAGTGGTAGCGATAGCTGTCAGTAGTACATGTAGGACACATTCAAGAACGTATTTCCTGATTTTTCCCAAGAAGATACTTTTCTCGATTGAAGGACAAAATACACCATTCTGAATACAACGGTCACCCTTGGGAGTTCAGCGGACAAAGGGGGATTCCAACTTTGGAGAGCGAGATTCTCACTACGATTTTAAATTTTTTTTTCTTTATTAAAATCAGAAAATAAGCTGAGATTTAAGATAAATTGATACCAATAATTCCACCATCAGCCAATCCCTCAATGACAGGAAGGTAACTTCTCCACCGTTCTCAATGCACAAAAACCGGTTTTTGTGGAAAAAACACCCTGTATATTGTCAAAATCAAAATTTTTGTGATTTCATTATATTCACCTGTAAATTACCTTTGAAAAAAAAAAAGAAAAATTAAATCGGTTCGGTGGATCTCGACCTATAGCGGCTCAAAGTACGCGCCCGGACGCCATTTTGAATGGCCGCCATCTTGGATCTGCCACTGAATTTGAAATGCCTTTTCGACTCAAAACTCTTCAAATGCCATCTAGTTTGATCCCTGAAAGCCGCTAAACTGTATCACGATTTGCCACTATTTGCCTTTTTTGGGTAATTAGCCACTGCACTATAAGAAACATGCGTGTTGAGAGAGTGCTTAAATGGACGTATTTCTGTCAAACGGACCAAAGCGCCAATTTGAGTTCCTTTTGCTGAATTTAGAATGCCGGATAGCGCGTTCTGTCAAACGGACCTAAGCGCCATGGAAAAGCATTGCGAGTATAGGACGGACTGAGCCCGACGCCCGGTTCCGCCGCCAATCCAAGCCCCCCTCCACCTTCCTCCCCCGATGGCGCTTAACCGTTTGATAGAAATACGTCCAAATGTGTACGTTATCTACTGGTCCATTGAAATGTGCGGAGAAATTGATCAGATCTTCGTTTTCAGTCAATGATGCGTATCCAGAAGAAAGGCCCATACACGATAGTGGGTGAAACTTTGAGCGGCGGTGTTGCGATGGTGCTCTCAAGGTTGCTATCCGACGCCGGTCACGAGGTGTCTCTGTTCCTTCTCCAAGGAATCCCCGATAAAATGCAAACATTACTACCATCTCAAGAAAACCTTAGCGAATATTTGGTAGATGTTTTATTCAACGTACGTATCATGACATCCTCTCTAAACGTTGTTTCGCACGCTAATTATAGCGCTGAATGCAGAAAGGGCACTTCTTGGTCACGATGTCTCAGAATCTCCACTAACATTTGGACACCATTTTGCAATTAGGAACTATAAATTCCGGCCCGGTTTAAAAACAACGTATGTGCCATTAGTTTCCTTATGTACATACGCTTTTTTCAGATGAGACAGAATCTATAGCTCCAAATTGCAAAATATAGTCCATTTCATCCATTACGCCTTGTCTCCACGGGACGTTTCACGGGATTTTTCCCACGTTTGAATTGCAGGAATGAAACTTCTGGGCTTTTTTCCCCGTTAATAAACTCAACAAAATTTCTTTCTCTTGTTTTGAAGTCGTTCCTGGGACTCTACAAGGACTCTTAGTCGGTACTGCGATTAGTATTGACTAACTCAATATTTTTCCTAACTTCGCAAGTGAGATTTTTCCCTATGACAAATCCCATGAAACGTTCCGTGGAAACGAGGCGTTAGAATTAAAGGAAATGTATGGAATTCGTTGAATCTTTCACTTAATTTTCTTATGAATCTTTTTCTTAATTTTGTTATGATTTTGAAAACGAAAATTTTCAGGAAATTCACCCGCGGGACTTCTGAAACACCGCAACGAAGAAATGCCATTTTCACCCAACGCCTCAATTTTACCCTGCTAAGGGAAGACGTTGAACGCCTCAAAATATTTTTCAAATTTCAATTTTTCAAGATTCGTACAATATTTTTCATTTTGTTTAGATGCAAGAAAATTTAACAAGGCCAAAACATCATGTTAAATTTATCTTACCTTGCTAGTTGGCTCTTTCTTAGTGCGAACGAAAAGAGCTCAATTAAATTACATACGGAGTAATCATTTGCGTACTCTTAACGAGGCATGTATTTTGGTGCATAGATTTTAACCCGATGACTAGTGATCTACTATCGACCAACTTTTTGTTTCAGGCAAATGCAAAGTTCACAAGCTCTAGCAGCACACGAGGCTCAGGCAACTTTTTAGATTCTTTACCGGACACATGTGATAAGTCACTGGTAGAGCGAGCTTTTAAGGCTATCCATAAAAGTTTAGAGCTTTCGATAAGTTGCGCAACGGCTGTGAAGCAGAAAGGCACTCTGATCCTCATGGAAATGGAATATTTTTGTCAACTCTCAATCGACGACATTGACCAAGTAAGAATTTATAAATCCTTCGTAATTAGTGAATTTTTTCGCACCATCAGCGGCCAATACGCAAAATTAAACGTAATTTGGGGATAAAAATTTTAAAAAATAGCATAAAATAGGTAAATGTAAATGTTATTAGAAGCAACAGCATCAAATGGATTGCATTTTGCAAAAAGGAACACTAGCATTGCAATGATGCTAAGATTGTGCAACTTCATCCTTTGCAATGAAATTGTGGAAATGCTAGTGGTTCCTTTTTGCAAAATGCAATCCAAATGTCCAAAAGACTTTAGAAACCATTATTGAAGATGAAAGTATACAAAAATATCATTGTCCACTACCTACGATGTTGGTGCATGTCAGAAAATATTTTCTCAACGTTTTTAAACTACGTTTATCAACCGAAAACCTCCGTGTAGTGCCAATATTTCGTTGGCAATATATTTTTGAAGCAACTCTCTTTTCCTATGCAAAATGCACTGAGAGGATCTTCACACAAGGGATTTTTGGAGGAGCGTAACTCTTTCCCACAAGAAAAGGTCCCAAAATCTATGGGTCTATCGTTGTAGCCTGTATAAAATCCTAGATGAGAGAATTACGTTGTCCTCGTGTTAATAATGTTTGAGGTAACAAAATATTAATCCATTTTAAGGATGTAATATAAATCTTTTTCTGGTTATCTGTTGCAGATGTCTGAGAAATCTGTGCGACTTGTCAAATCAGAACGGAATTCTTACGAGGAGATGCTAACGGACCCTGTCATCTTGAGGACTATTGCCAGAGATACAGCATTTTCCTGGACTGCCTACTAATTATCTTGATCCTATAGCAAAATTATATTGTGAAAACCTTTACCAATTTTGTATGAGAATAAACATCCAAAGAGGAATACAGAGCTGGAGGGTGAAACGGTGTATACGGTTCAATTTTTTTAAAATTAACTCTTCACCTATTTATTGTAAATTTTCAGCGCAAAATCTTGTAAAATTGGATCTTATACACTCATTTCACCCGCTTGTTCAGTATATACATAGAATACTTAATTCAAGATTTACAATAAGAATAAGTAAAAACCGGGAAAAGACATTTTCTTTCCATTATTTTTTTTTTGTTCACGATTAATTATTAAACTAAAAGCTGTACAAAAATTCAGACCATTTGTTCAAATATCGATGAAATATAAATTTTGAGTGTATATTTATTAGTGATTTTCATTTTTTACACCACCTTATTCGTGTTTTCCAAAAAATTTTAGGTCATCAGAATATAAATACAGAGAAAAGTCGCATCTTAAATTCAATACAATACTAGCGAGGAATTTTCTTTAACTTACATAGTCCGGCACAGCGCTCATAAGTGGACCGCTTTAAGTAGAAAGGAACCAAACCACATGAGCTATTGCCAAATTTAGCCGAGCAATAAAGGTTTTAACAAGAGAACGTTTGTGTGGATTCTTCTGAAAATTTTAAGAAATTCCCGACGCAATATGCAGAAAATTCACTGAAATTTGCCCTAAAATCCGCACTTCCGTTTTCATGTAAAAAATGAAAGTGCCCAATTTGGCACTAGCTGCAATAGCTCCGGGCAATAGCTGATGTGGCTTGGTTCATTTCTGCTTAACGTGGTCTAAATAGCCCAACCTGAACACATCAGCCCGAAAATAATGTATTCAAAATGCATATCTGTCTGTTTCTCGTGCCTTTTAACGATTAAAATTGTACATGTGTCTCAGGTTCAAGGTCAATGTTCGCCGTAAAATATAAGCATTTTTCCCTTATGCTCAAATATTTGAACACTTGAGAAGTTGGATGGCATACATTATGTCTTGAAAAAACATTTTATGCCTAGAGGGATTCGAGAATTGACAATGGTATCCTCTTTTCTTCGAAAGCACGTGCTTATAAGCTTAATATCAAGTGAATTTCAAACTGGTGGTGCCAGGTATGCGTGCACTGCAAAGATACACGTTAGATAAACGTATACCGCACGGAAATTTCCATGCAACTGGCAACGTTGCTCGATATCAAAATAATGCAAATAAACGGCTGTCAAGCAGGTCAAGAGGGAGCTTCCTTCTCTCATCAAATGTCGGATGTCTTCTTGCTCGCCTGTAAAATCCTTTTCTGCCCTTCAAATTTTTTTCCAACGATTTTTTTTATTTGTATTATTAGGGTGGTCCTTATTTTGGACTTTTGAGAAATTCTAAGTTCGGAACCCTGCAATCGGTTCCTTTTTATGAAAAAATAACGGGGGAAAAAAGGAAAAAAAATAAAAAAAATTTTTACCCATGTCGCAATGGCGCCAAAGTTGCGGCGCACGAAAATACGATTTTCAGCAAATCGGGCTTTCACGGCATTTCGCCCTGAACTTTGGGCACGCATTATTGCATGTAGACGTATGAAAATTTGCACTAGTACACACTTTTTAGTGTTCTTTCACGTGAAATCATCAGATTTGGGCTAAAAGTTATGCAAATGCATGTTTCAAACCCTCAAAGTTACGGAAAAACACGATTTTTCGGGCTTTTACGGTATTTTGCCCTGAACTTTGGGCACGTATTGTTGCATGGAGACGTATGAAAATTTGCATTAGTACACATTTTTTAGTGCTCTTTCACTTGAAAACATCAGATTTGGGCTAAAAATTATGCAAATGTATGTTTCGAACCCTCAAAGTTACGGAAAAACACGATTTTTCGGGCCCAAATGAAAAATCACGCAATGGATATTAAAAAATGACATGAATGAAAAAAACTACTTCGACTTTGCTAAACAATCATGAATATACTTTTTCCGGGAAAAATAATACAATACATGACAATGACATGACAGGATACCTACAGTAAATATTGATTTAAAGGTAAGGTTTTAGAAGTGTGCTTTTCTTTACATCAGGATATTGCTTCCTATGTTCAGCTACTACTTGGATAATGTGCTGCCGCTCCTTTTCATCTCTTGTCAATTTTTTTTCACTGTATTCCTCAATAAGTTTGATACCTCTTTCAGCCGTATCGTTGACTGACTTTAAGTTGTCTATTATTTTCAAATTTGAAGAAACTTTGATATTTCTCGGGAAAATTAACGAAGGCAATGTTCATTTTTATGCTCCTGGCCCTATTCATCATGCCAGATGGATGGCTAAGGCTATTTATTGTCTAAAGATTTATCTGTTCGTGGACCAATTTACTTTCCAGAAAGGAGAAAGGCAAAACATTAGAAAGTTATGTATTTTTATTGTAAAACTCTACGTGGAGGCCTGGTTTACTGCTCCAAACACAATTAAAGCGCCCAACCACGATTTATTCATGAAGAAACTTTTTAAATTTTCAGAAATCGATAAAGATATTTCTACAGCCACCATGGCAAAGCTGCAAAATCATCTTTGGTACCTAAGTCCAGAGGCCGTTGCTCTTGCTTTCTTTGATAGAAATGTTCCAATTGACAGCAAAAAGAAGATGGTACTAGCGTTAGAAAATGAAAGCGAATCAGATGATATTGTAAAAAAAGTATCGTTCATGAAAATAAAGGACATTAATTCCAAAGAGTTGGAAGATTTTATTGATTGCCGAACGCGTAAATTTTTTGATAGGTTCAAATTTTCGATGGATTTTATGCAAAATGACCCGTCAACATGGGAGCAAAACAAAATCTTTCAGGCAAATCTGAAAATAATAGACAACTTAAAGTCAGTCAACGATACGGCTGAAAGAGGTATCAAACTTATTGAGGAATACAGTGAAAAAAAATTGACAAGAGATGAAAAGGAGCGGCAGCACATTATCCAAGTAGTAGCTGAACATAGGAAGCAATATCCTGATGTAAAGAAAAGCACACTTCTAAAACCTTACCTTTAAATCAATATTTACTGTAGGTATCCTATCATGTCGGTAACGTTGCATGGTGGCAACGATCATGGTGTCAACAAACCAAAAATCTGATCATGGAGTCAACGATTGTTGACGTCGTGATCAGGCAGTAAAACGCAAAAATGGGCCCTGAGCATGGTGTCAACGATCACGGTGTCAACAAACAGAAAAATATCTTCCTTGTGAGTAAAATTAAAAAATTAAGTGTACAGGAGAGGTCTGGGTCACGTATAGTTGGATTAGGTTAGTTTAGGTCAGGTTAAAGTTATGTAGGGTAAGGTCGGGGAAAGTTAAGCTCTGTGAAAGTGGGATAGGTCTTGTAAGGTGAAGTTGGGTAAGGTTAGGTTAGGTAAGGTTAGGTTAGGTAAGGTTAGGTTAGGTAAGGTTAGGTTAGGTTAAGTTAGGTTAGGTTAGGTTAGGTTAGAGTAAATAACACAAGAAAAACAAGACTTGAAATTTAAAAGGTGTTATTGAGGCAAGTTTTAAGTTTCGTTGACGTCGTGATCGTTGACACCGTGATCATTTTTCATAAGGGTCAGAATTTTTCATTTTTGGATGATCATGGTGTCAACAAAAACTTGTATTATTTTTCCCGGAAAAAGTATATTCATGATTGTTTAGCGAAGTCGAAGTAGTTTTTTTCATTCATGTCATTTTTTAATATCCATTGCGTGATTTTTCATTTGGGCCCGAAAAATCGTGTTTTTCCGTAACTTTGAGGGTTCGAAACATACATTTGCATAATTTTTAGCCCAAATCTGATGTTTTCAAGTGAAAGAGCACTAAAAAATGTGTACTAATGCAAATTTTCATACGTCTCCATGCAACAATACGTGCCCAAAGTTCAGGGCGAAATACCGTAAAAGCCCGAAAAATCGTGTTTTTCCGTAACTTTGAGGGTTTGAAACATGCATTTGCATAACTTTTAGCCCAAATCTGATGATTTCACGTGAAAGAACACTAAAAAATGTGTACTAGTGCAAATTTTCATACGTCTACATGCAATAATGCGTGCCCGAAGTTCAGGGCGAAATGCCGTGAAAGCCCAATTTGCTGAAAATCGTATTTTCGTGCGCCGCAACTTTGGCGCCATTGCGACATGGGTAAAAATTTTTTTTATTTTTTTTCCTTTTTTCCCCCGTTATTTTTTCATAAAAAGGAACCGATTGCAGGGTTCCGAACTTAGAATTTCTCAAAAGTCCAAAATAAGGACCACCCTATTGTATTATTTCATGTCCAACGGCAATCCTCTAACAAAGACGGGTTTTGAACAACACAATTATTTCAAATGAATTATGAAAGTGCACATTTGTGACCATCTTTGGGCGAAAGAAACCCAAGTCTACAAGAAACAAAAATAAATTGGTGTATAGCAGAGCATGGAGGAGTACTCTACAAATATTTTGGGATAAAAAGTACTCATAACTCGTGAACCAAATTTATGACGGTTTAAAGTTTTTCAACTGGAAAAACATAGTTTTAAGAGGCAGTTATTGAAACATCTAATTTTCTATTTCCAAAGTAGGTACAAAAATTGGATTATATCGTAACTTTGCCTTCTAAATGGAACCTAAATGATCTAAATGGGTCAAAATTCAGTCTTGGATACTGCAGAGTTTTTCGTGAAAATCTCGATTTTTTAACCCAACTCAACAAAAATCACTTTGCTGAAAGTTTTTCTTCCATGAACTACGGCCCCTTTTTCCATTAACGGTAAAATTTCGATGACCCAAGTACGAGACCATGTACATATATCTCCGTTTGCGACGTTCCAGACTTTCTGTCCTACCTTATCCTTTCATTGGAAAAACTAGACAACCTAATTTCCTGAAGACTGGTATGACTTTTCTTTTTTATTCGTAAAATATTCTGTATAAATTATAAGCGAAATAGTTGGCTTGTTTATCTTCAAAATAATCAAATAGGAGCGAAAATCTTGAAAATTGCAATGCGGGTACGAGATTTTTTTTTTCACTTTGGTTATTGATTTATGTCTTTTACATGTGTTCCAATATTAATGTTGAAACTTAAAAAGCACATTATGGTTTGCACATTTGAAAATAGTTTTAAATTTAACTTATGACGGAAGGCACACGAGCTCAAGTTATTTTTAAAGCCAAAAAGGAAATCGCTTCGTTTATAGTTCAAGTCAAAACCAGTAATTCAAACTCCCAATTCGTCTAAAAGCCAAAATCAGGGTCAGATCTGCAATTGCAAACAAAATTTCACATTTGGCAAAGAACTAAAGTTTTATTCCACCGATTTCCTCCTTTGATCCTTGATCCTTTTCAAATTTTCAATTTTCAAGTCATATTCATCATGCTGAAAAATGATTCTATTGCAAGGCACTCTGAATTAATAATGCAATCATTTTGACTCAAAGTTCAAGACTCGAAATTCAATAAGTTTTGGCACGTAGGAAGTTTAAATAAATGGATACCGATAACGTAAATATATTTCAAAAGTTGAATAGGAGAATTTTCGAGGTGTTAGTCGCGTAGTTTGTGACATTTTGACGAGGGATTTTGCGCGTGTTCTACAGTGCTTAATTTTTCAACCTCTCCGATGATCTATTGTTGCTCAACACTACAACATTGCGGCAACCTATGACTTCTTCAAACTCTGAGTATGAAAAAAAATATGAATTCGGCTCATGACCTGCAAAAATTCCGTTTCGCGTTTGGGCGGTCATTGATCTCGGAAGAGGAGCGCAGTTTTTAATGAGCTTCCTCTGCGCCTTTGCAAAAAATAGACGTCAATTATTTGCATATTTTTCGGGAGGCACGGTCGACTTTTTTCATCGTAGACCACGTGGTCCAATAGATTTTTTCGCATGCTAACTGCGGCCTCTCCAATCCCCCACTTCATAAGATTTTTCCAACGTTTTTCCTGCTTTTCTCGCGTCCTTTACCCAGTCTGCGGAAAGTAGGGAAATTAGCACATGCATTTCCTCTCATTGTCGCTTTTCTACACATCCGTTGCCACTTTGTACCTTTGCGCTGCCGTGGCATTCGTAATTGCGGTTTATAACGGCATAATACGAGAATCGACTCGGTTTATTTACTATGTGTAAAGGAACGACATGCAGATCGCGTTAAGCTTCCGTCGCGCAATACTTGGATGTTTGGAATGTGTGCCAGTAAACCAGTTTAAGAATTGAGTCACAAGTGCCGGTCGGTTTCTAGACCTTATTTTGCTTCGTGGATTATTTCCGCGGTAAAATAAATAAAAAAAAAAAAAAAAAAAAAAAAAAAAAAAAAAAAAAACATGCAACAGAAAATGCTTCGTCATCAGTGAAAGCTAATTTAATTTCGATTCCCAAGTTTTTGTAGTTTTTACTTTTTGACGACTAATGTAAATTTGCTCGTTGTAAGCACGGAAGAATTCAAATAGCCTCGGTCGGTCTGGAATAGTAGTGAATTATACGATCTGGTAGAAAAATAGAATGAGTGATTCGCCCGGGAAAATTCACCTTATATTTTGACCTCACTGGAGTTTCGATCAATGATTTCTTGTCCTCCAACTCTACCCAAGACCCCTAATTTATTTCCTATGACGTTGAATGATCCTATTATGTGTAATCTCTAATTCGTGGCTTTTATCTCTGAAAGCCCACGTGATGGTGTGTATTGTTCTTCAGTGAAACGGGAAAAGTAAAAAAAAAAATAAATAAATCAGATATTTTGCACTAGCAGAAGGACTTCTAGAAGAGGAGGAGTCATCAAGGAATCATGTAAGTCAAGTGCCGTTTTTTCATGATGTGAGTTTGGAACCGGTTTCATTGTGATGTTTTACACAGACAGAAAAACTTCAGTTTCAATGATACACTGATATTTTAAGTCTAGGTGACTGAAATTTTCGGTCATATTGACCCAACTTTAGCTATGGGTACTGGTGTTTTCGTTTGGCACACTTAGGCTCGTATTCCCTATCAAAGGTTTCAATTGTCCAAACCAAATATTTCAGTTGTCCATCCTAAAGTTCGGTTTGTGCGCCCGGAAACTTCAGTTTTCCATATAATTTGAAGTTTTATTTCTTATAACTGAATTATTCTTCCCAATTAATTTCAAATGACCTCGCATTCGTCGCGCAGCTGATAGTGGGAGAGTTGCGATCGGTCTAATTTTACGAAAACGGCTCAAATGGTATTATCTAATTCGACCTTTAGGCTCGTAAAAAGCTCTAAATGTTGAAGCTGTAATGACGGTAAAATTCGTGAGTAAAATGAGTCCACCTCTGTATTTAGTCAAAGTCTCTGAACAAAGATGAAGTGGCGTACATTATCAGGTTCGTAAACCTGTGGCTAAAAATGCTTCCCATGCCATGTCCTTAAGTCCACAGACAAAATGGCGATCTTACTGATACTCAACCCTATTTCTGCCTGGAGAATTTTTCTGAATACGGAGATAAACTTTCACGTAATTACTTAACTGATCGGCATTATTTCTAAACATTGAGAGTTTTTCATAAGTCAATAAGTTGATCTAATAAAGAACTTTTGATTAATCGTGTTTCTCGCATAATTTTTCTTTGTTGCAATATCGATTACATCGCAAACTCCCTGATCAAACAGTAACTCCTTTCAAAGTCAATTTATCGATTTTGTATCGCATATGGTTCGCTAAGAAATCATGCCTCCTTTCGTTGCAAACCTTCTTTTATTACTCTCTTATTTTAGAGTTACAAAGCTTTTGGCGCGTTTGGCTTTAAGCATAATGTAAGGGGAAAGTTTTGCCCGTGAAACACTCTGAAATCTTGGTAAGTCGAAAATGCTTTCTCAATGTTGCTTAGCTTTTCCGGCAAGAGAGAAGTACAAAGACGCAGCAATGAATTATGAGTTCTTAAAATGAAGGCTGAGCGTAAAAATATTCATCAATTTGTCCTACGTTAAATATTTTTAAGGAACTACGCATGTATTTCTCTAGGTCTGAATTTCCGTAGAGTAATTTTTCTAGTTCTGAAGAAACATTTGATTCTTAGATTTTGACGGGAAACCCTTTCTAGTTCCCTAAAAATGATTTGCGACGATATAATTCATCTTTTGCCAACTGAGGCTGACGGTTTAATTTTTCATCATAATCGGGCGTTTTCGTACTCTTATAACATGGCAGGTCAGAATTGTGCTTGGCTTATTTTCAAAACTCCGTTCTCTGAAGTACAAACCTCAAAAGATGTGGTATTTTGCTCAGACGGAGACAATATGTTCCAGCACCTCAATTTCCTTACTTATTTTCTTTCAAATTTAATACAGATTACAACAACCGCGGCAGCCTTTACAAAAGATGGAGGAGAAGCCGGAGGTTGTGATCGCTGGAATGGCTGGCACATTCCCTGGGTGTGCCACCGTTGAAGACTTGCAGGAGGCATTGTTTAAAAAGTCACACCTCATTTCCAAGGACAAAAGCTACTGGGAGGTGTGTTACGATGAGGGTAAGTGTGGCATTTGTGGAACACGAGCGCGGCTTGGGTTTGCTCTCGAAGGAACGGGCCTGTTGCAAACTTTTGCTAGAGCAAAAATAAGAGTTGTTCCTTATAAATAATGTCTCAAAAATCAAGATGAGCGCATCAGCAAACTCTGAAATGCACTCTCAACTTCACAATCTGCGTAAGACATTTGCGCTTTTTTAAGATTCCCGCTTCAAGAAGGATACTACAGCACAGGTGAACATTTCGTTAGAGGAGTCTTTCCATTCGATCCCTGCTCAATATGGCCGGCGCAAGTTGAGGAGAGCACAAGGTCAATCAAGGCAGATATCTATCAACGCGAGAAAAATGTGAATGTAACCACGCCGATTTTTATCGGGTGGTTGGAATCATCGTTCCGTCACATGTGTTGTGACGGATTGGCGTGGGCTACGTTGAATGTTGCGTAGTATCCTTGTGAGCAGAGGTTGGATGGAATGACTCCTCAAACGAATGTTCACCTGTGCCGTGGTATCGTTTTTGGAGTGGGAAGCTCGAAAAAACGCAAATTTCTTGCGCGAATTGTGAAGTAAGGAGTCATCGTGATTTTTGAGACACTTTCTATGCGTTACAACTCTTATTTTTTCTCTAGCAAAAGTTTGCAACCGTCCCACTGATGCAAAATTAGAGAATGAGGAAGTCGCTGGTGTCTGCAATTTTGTGAATTTCATGTTTAAGAAGAAACCGAGCGTACTGAGCATGGGAATATCCTTGTTTTCTAAAGAACAAGTATTAGAGAAACTATGACCAAAACATATGAGTCGCTATTATAATGCTCTCTGGCGCTCTGCGACGCCTACTCGCCACAAAACTCGGTCCTCCCACAATTCATCAAGGAGTCGACACTCCCCCATCTCATTTAAAACCCCCTGTCGCCACCCTCTCACTGGACGTCCCCTTCGTCTCCTCCCAGGAGGAACTCAATCAAGCATCTTTTTTGGCAGCCTCCCCTCCGTCATCCTATTGACACGACCGTACCAGACAAGATGTTTGGTTATGACGTCGAATACGATGTCATTTTCGACTTCCATGATCTGACGCACTCTTTTATTACGGACCCGATCTCTCCTAGAAATTCCTGCCGACCTCCTCCATAAATTCATCTCCGTTGCTCCTAGCATATATATTCTGTACCAAATGACATAATCTACTTAAGTGCACGTGTTTAAATGGGAAATGCCGTCTGATGACGTCACAAGGCGGCAGATATTCTCACTTTAAAATATATTTTTCCACAATTTCCATCAGAAAAAAATTATGAAAAATACTGTGGAAATCAAATATAACGACCTTGAAGAGACCGGCCTTTTTCGGTCGTTCTAGCCGATAGTTGTTATAATAGATAGTTAGATGTTTACGCAGTCACCTCAAATTGTACAGCAAAAGAGTAAAGCTGTACTGGCGCTGGGGTATGGAGACGAGGTTTCCTTATTTGCAGGAAAAGAAACACCACTATAATTAAAACTACATTTTCATTTTTGATTTTATTTTTTATTTGCTTTGCGTGTGCATTGGTGTTTGTCACTTGCGGTATACACTGGTCAGAAATTGTGTATACCGCAGGCGGAGGGTCTGACACCGATAAATCGCGAATGTTCAAGGATAAAACGCGCACTTTGGTGTGCGCGCACTGCGTAAAGCACGTATACAGTATTGTAGGTGCTAGTATCGATTATCAAAGGACAATACCGCCAATCTGACAATTTTGGCATAAATGAGTTAGCGATTTTGCCGCATATTTCAGTATAAAATGCAAACGCTGATGATTTTAGTTGTGTTACAATACTTAGGGGGAGCGATTCAATGACGCTGTAATGCATGAAAAAATTGCAAATCTAACCTTAAAATTACGAAAATAGCGAAGTTTTCTCTTCGCTCTACAAAAGCGTTTGCAGATAGGCGGTACTGTTCATTAGCCGTCGATATGCGAATCACGTCGAATAGACTGTGTATCGCGCAATGCGTGAAGTATTCAAACGGTCTTGCAGGTGCTAATATGCGTGTTGCGCCGACCGCACTGCGTTTGGAGCTATTATTCGAACGGGCGGAGTTGAGCAATTCTTATCTTACTTGGTTGTTGCCCTGGGTTTTTATCAAGTTCCATCACAAGGCGAAAAATCAAAACTAAAAAAATTAAAAGAACCTGTTGCTAAGATGGAGTTTTTGCACACAGTTAATTGATCAGTCATTTAAAACGTGCTACATAAAATCCTTGTCGCTCCATGCCCGTCAATACAAATGTCACGTAACACTAAAATATATCCCAATTGATATAATTATACTTTGTAGATATAGTGTGATTGTTCCTCTACCCTGTTCGAAAGTGTCGAGTAACAAGAAATAAATCAATATTTGTATAAAAATGAAAATAACAAATAGTGAGTGACTTGGCGGGACAAAACGCATAAAAGCAGTTTTTGCTATTTCGAGGTACACGCGTTTGAAGTTTTGAAATTACATGGATCCTAAAGGTGGGAAAAAAAGGTCAAACTGACTTTTCGGTGCTGAAAATTTTGAATTTGGGAGCGAATTTATCACAGAATATACAAATAGAATAGTTTTACTTGAAATCATTAATATCTCAATTTTTGCAAAAACTGCCCTTATGCACCTTGTCCTCCTCTCATTTGATATGAATTAGTTAGTTAGTTAGTTAGTTAGTTACTTATATTTTAAGACATTCAGCGCCACAGGCTATTAACGTCTTTACAGAGAATTTTGAAAATGGGAGTATATACGAAAATTTAGATTTTAGAGCAAATACTCGTATAGGTACTATGTCTTTCCGAGCGCGACGATATTGATTTTTTGTCCGTTTGATTTCTAGATGAAATGGACTGGCCGATGTACACTGGTCACGCACTTTCTCACGATAAGTTTGACGCAACGTTTTTCAATATTCCGTTCAGTTATCCGAGCGTCATGGACCCGCTCATGAAGAAATGTTTGGAAATTAGTGTGGAAGCTGTGATTGACGCAGGTTTGTCCTCTGTCTAATATCTGAAAATACCCCGAAAGGCAATCAAGCTTGATTATTGATTGATGACAATTGATTAATCAACCACGCTAGCTTGTGAGAAAACTAATCCTGATTGTCTGACCATCAATCGTTGAAATCATTACAAATTACTTCTGATGCAGCTCACAAATGAATAACGCATTTGTAACTGTGCGAAGCACCGCCTCCTCCCCCCTCACCTGCCTGTGTGTGCTTCTATTTGCAACTGACGAGTATCTCGGTAAATATCATGTGTATTTTATAGAAATGAACTTCGCATTTCGATTGACGCCTCCTCTGCCTCGACTCTTTGAGCGAACTTTGGGTAGCAACTATTCGAACTCATCTACCGTGCTAATTGCCTACCCAGATAATTGCGGGCGTTTTAGAAAAGGGACTTTTTCTTTAAACCGTTCCTTTTGCTGAGCACGTTTTGATGCACATAATGTGAAGATCAAAAGAAATTGGTTGTTGTGACTTATTACAAACGGAGTCATCATAATGGTGGACGTTCTTGATCGACCTTGTTAAACCTTAAATGATCGTAATAATTGCATGAATTGAAGAGAAATCATCAATATTAACCGAGTTTCACAGTTTATAGTATGGTACCGGACTTAATTGATATAGCTAACCCAAAGATGCTAAATCTGAGATACGAAAGAAAATTCGGTTCCGATTTGTGAACTTGGTATCTCCTTTTTACGTAATAAGCACACATAGCTAGATAATTTTGTAAGCCTTCCACTTTACGGAAGATTTATATGAACAAAAAGGTGTACGTCCAATGAATAATTTTTAAATTTTAAGAGGGTTAATACTATATTTTCTTCTAGGTTTCAATCCGAAACAGTTGGAAGGGACTAACACAGCTGTTTACGTCACTTACGACAATAGTGAATCTGAACTCATCCTAACTTACACAATTACAGAAAAAGTTCTTATGGGAAACTGCAGAGCTCTGACGGCAAATCGACTCTCATTTGCAATGAATCTGCAAGGTAGACATCCCTTTTGTATTTATTTTATTTTACGCTAAAATGCAGACAATTTAGGGCACTTTAAAACTAAAACGTACTCGTACCTATCGAGAGTTTTAGCCAAAAATTCAACTTTTTTAAATTTCAATTAAGCTTAAAGTTGAAAAGTCATACTAAAGCTAATAAAACTTACAGGAGATTTGGAATAAAACAATTTAAGCTGAGCAAAATAACATAAAATCCATAATATCACAACATGCTACAGAGACCACTGGAAAAATATGCAAGACCTGAGCTGCAATCTTGAGAAAAAAAGCCAAATAAAGTTGTTTAAAGAAAAAAAATAGTAATAATAAACATAAATTGCCATTATAGACATTTACAGAGTCGAAAGTGGGGATTCTCCCATCAAAGTTGTATGATCAGTAGGCAGCCATTAATAGACATACTGAAAATTCACCCGCGGGCTGATTGTTGAGATCGGTAGTCAAAGCGATGGACAATAAAGCAGACGTAGAAATTAGGGAGCGATCATATTGGTTGAAATGGGTGGTTCCTATAGAATAAAGGAGATGGTGATGGAAAGGTGACTATAGGGTTTCTTGTGGGATGCCGTTAGTTTATCTTTTACCTAGGTACCTCTTTTGTCCATTGCAATCACCGAAATAAATAATATGCTGTTTTAGCATCTAAGATGTCAAAAATGTGTCTAGTGATCCCAAGATGCTGCCTTTACTGCCCCCTCAGTTGAATTTGCATTCACAGGATGTAAAATTAACTACGGGGGCAGTAAAAGCAGCATCTTGGGATCACCAGACACATTTTTGACATCCTAGATGCTAAAACAGCATATTATTTTTTTCGGTGACCACCCACTTCTGCCACTAGGATCCTTCCCTTTTGTCTTCTTGAGCCATAGCTTTGACTACCAATTTCAACAAGCAGCCCGCTGATCCAAAATTATAAATCGAATCAGAAGATGGAAAAGAAATTGAAACATAAAAATGAGCCCTAGTGCGTCATATTTAGTGCTACTGTCATACTAGTGCGCAAAATACACTTTCAGCAGATCTTTAATCTAGATGACCAAGTGCTCAATTTTCTTTTCTAAAAAATTGCACATAATTTTTTTATTTTTGATACTCTTGAATTTAGAAGTAAACTTCAGTAACCTTCTAAATCCCTGCACTTGGTTAACATTTTGAATCGAGCTATGCATCCGTATTTCAGGTCCTAGTTATTCGTTCCAAGGTGGTTACGGTTCCATGCTTCACTATTTCGACCACGCCAAAAGACAGTTGGAGGAAGGCCGGTTGGATGGCGCCATAATAGTCAGCGCTAACAATATCATGTCTCCTCGGTTCTTAGCAATTTACGATGGAATGGGATTTTCAACAGCTGACGGAAAATGTCGAGCTTTTGATGAACACGGTAAGAGTAAAGTAACTTTGTGTAAAATGATTCGTCCTCATCAATTTCCACTAATTTTCAGGAATATAGTAAAAATTTAACAATCCAAAAATAATTTCACTGAGAATGTTGGCCCTCTCTTACTTACACACTGTAATGATGTGACTCGTGTTACACATCTTTACTGCGGACTATTGATGTGACGGGCTATAAACCTGCTGGCTGATTATTAAAATTGATAGACAAAGCGATGGACAAAGATGACATAGGGAGTATGGAGCAATCCCATTGGTTGAAACTGGTGGTTCTTACAGACTAAAGGGGATAATGATGGGCTAACGAAATGGTCTCTTGGCGGTTCTAGTTGATTATTCTATTACCCAACTCCTTTGTCCATTCTAACCACGTGCTTCCACACCGAAAAAGAAGGATGCTGACTTAACATTCTGGATGTAAACAAGTGTGTGACAACTCACAAAACGCTGAGTTAATCGCCACAGCAGTTAGCTTTACATCTTGACATTGCTATGGTAATGTTAATTGCTGTGGCAGTTAACTCGGCGTTTTGTGAGTTGTCGCGCACTTTTTTACATCCAGAATGTTAAGTCAGCATCCTTCTTTTTCGGCGCCCCAATAGGATTCCTCCATATCACGTATGTCATCTATGTCTGTAGCTTTGTCTGTCAATTTCAATAATCAGCCCGCTGTAAGAGAAGATGTTTCTCAACGTACACATGTTTAAAAGTTTCCATAACGTAGTAAAAAGGGACGCAAGAGTATCACTTTTTTAATGGAGAAAGTTAATCAAAGCTATGTCTGCCGGAGGCATCAGCCTCTTTAAGTATCCGGTATCTGATGAAGATTTCGAAAACTCAAAAGCGAAAATTTACGAGATCTTACACTGCTAAACATAAGATCCGAGAGAAACTTCATCGAAAACTTTTCAATTGTTTCAGCTCAAGGATACGCAGTAAGCGATTCGTGTGCAGCTTTCTTCATACAACGTGCCCGAGACGCGAGAAGAAATTGGGCGACAGTAATCGGGGCTGATTTCAGGTTTTTCGGCGACAAGTCGGACGGAAATTTCATATCGTTCCACGAGGAGCCGGTAAAGAAGATGCTGCGCGAAAATTATGAAAAGTGGAAAATCGACCCTACTACTGTTACATACATCGAAGCCGACGGATGTGGGTTCAAGGTTAGTGTAAATGTAAATCAGTCTGCTAAGAGAAGTCGCGCAGTCTCAGCATGAGTGACTGCACACTGTTAAAAATCGAGGTGTGAAATTCGGTGCTGGAGTCTATATAGCTCTCAACAACTTCGAGTGATATGAATGCGAAGTAAAATTAGCATCATAAAAGAACATGACACTCAACAAAAATAGTAGATTCCACTCCGTAAGGAAAATATATTCCGCTCCGCATTCATAACACGCGAGGTTTTTGGGTGCTATATAGACTCTGGCACAGAATTTCCAGGGGAGGAAAAAGTGTTAATTAAGGGTTATTCCGTAAAATTGTGATGCTACCCCACTTTTTTGGATGACATGGGCATTTCCAAATAATTGTGGTAGTACCGCAACATTTGGGTTAGTAACCTAATTTATTGGAGTTCTACCCTAATTAACTGAAAATGTCTGAGTTGGGAATTAACTCCCACCTCTCTTTTCCCGTGTCACTCCAAAATGTTCAACACTCTGGAGCACAGATTGCATACCTTCTGGTTTGAAGGAAATTTTTCAATTGACGTAAGAGCTATACTTAAACATCAGCAAAAATGTAATTAAGAAACTTTCTAACACTGTGCAGATTCAGTTTACGTGCTATTATAACGATTCGGAAGTGAGGTTGCATACGTTGCAATTTAAAGAAAATGCTTGATCTTCAATTTGCAGGAAAATTGCTAAAATGCACGTAGAAATAATGATTTATGGAGTCATTGAAAAAGAGAGGTGATACTTTTTAAATTCATATTGAACTTTTGCAGGAACGAGAGGACAAAGAGATCGATATAATCGCAGAGACTTTTTGCAAAAACCGGAAATCTCCTTTGTTAGTCGGATCGGTGAAGTCAAATATGGGACACGCAGAGACGGCAGCTGCTGCAGCGGGAACCGTCAAAGCTGTAATTGCCCTGAACAAGTCAGAAATTCCACCCAGTATTAACGTAGAGACACCAAACTACAAACTAGCAGCCAACAAAATGAAGGTATGTGCAAAAATTGCCTCGGAACATGGGCGGGCAAAATAAGCAAAGAACTTCCTCAAAATTAAACTGAATATATCGACGGTGTAAGTCGGCAATCACATAACTCGGCTTGCAACGCCGCAGACTTCCTGTCATACTTTATTTTTCAAACGAAAAACTACTCAAAAGCAATTCCTTAAAACTGCAGAGATTTTTTTCTCTGTGCGAAGAAAATTCTGCATAAACTTCAAGGAATGATGCGAATTTGTTCTCCTTTAAAAAAATAACATAGATGCGGAGATTTTCAGACACCGCAAACGAGATATGTGATTGCGGACTTACGCCGTCGATATAGAGAGGATCCCCATATTTATTGTGAGTATTTATTGTTCACGTTTTAAAATAAAGAGCAAGCTTGCACTCTGGTAGAAACATGAACTGACAAGGATAACAATGCAAGGATGTTCTTTTCAATATAATGTGAATATGCACTGATTCCTACCTCAATCAGTTGCATGCTCATTTTCTTGTTTTAATTTTTTATTTTTTAGCTTTTGTTCCAGTTGAAAATGGGCATGTAATAGGCCGAAAACATCCTGGTTATGTTTATTTTTTTGTCATTTCTTTTGTATTCAATGTGTTTTTATTGTCGTAAGATAATTAAATCGGCAACTTATTTCACTTTCAGGTAGTCACAGAATCAACACCACTCAAAGGCAATTTGGTCGGAATAAATGCAATCGGATTTGCTGGAGGCTTTGGTCATTTACTTTTACAACAAAATGTCAAGTAAGTGTCTCTTGGAACTGTCAGAATTGAAAAACTGGATGCATTTCTCCGAAAGAAGTCTATTTTGAATGGAAACCCTAAATGGAATCATTTTGCATAAATGCTTGCAATTGAAAGTCATAAATTGAAAACAAAACCACCTGACTTAAATTACTCCATAAAACCAATTTATGATCCTAAATTGTAATTAATGTAAAGAATAGACTTCCTCCTTTATAAGAAACATGTTTGCCTATAAAATAATTAGAGGCCAAAAGGAATGCAATTGAATACAAGCAGTGAACTCCAACACAATGTGTTGATAAGGCGCGTCATTAACTCACACATATCAACCCCTTTAGTTTTCATTTACAGAGATTTCAAAATAGGCACAACAAGAGAATTCATACGATCCAACTCTTCGACGACGCACTTTGACGAGACCGTGTATTGTGAATGTAGAAAGCCATTCGAACGAGTTTAAGTTTTTTGATCTGCCCCCAGCAATATCTTATCAGATTCTTAAAGAAAAGTGTTACGGAATAATTTAAGCGAAGAAAGGAAAAATTCTGTCGAACTCCTGAGAGATACAGTCGATTTAAAGGTATTTTTGGGGCTGAAATATCCAAATCACCGGTACCTAATATAAATCCCGATATATTATTGAAAAGAAATTGACTCGATATAAATGCAATTGCATTAGATATGTCTTGATTTTATTATTTTAAACGATTTCCATGCAAAGAAGTTCAACCATGTCCATGCTTTATTCATTCATGAATTGAAAGTAAGCAATCTACATCCCGAAAATCTACCGATTTGCCGTAAAAAATTGCAGAAACTCGATATACCAAGTCGATGCACCCACTCGTTGAATTTACCAACCAATTTCGTGAGTGCAAATATATAAAAATCAATATGCTATAGTCATTTTGGGTGCATTTATTTTTCATGAAAAAATAATAATTTCAATCCCGAAAAACCATCAATTTTCCGTATAAAATCGTTTTGGCTTAAACGACTCAAGAGACACTGTAGTTAAAAAATATAAAGAATTTTCGATTTTAACACAAAAAAAAAATGTTCGTTCAGGCACACCATGTATTGTATGGTGTATTGCGCTGGTATTCAATCCTTGCCTTCAGATCAAAATTCTTACAAGGAAGCCCCTTGCAAGAGGCGAATTTTTTGTAATTTCTCCCAATTTTTTCTCCGTTATATAGTTGAATTGCTTGCCAAATTCTGAGGTCAATTATATTTAATTGTAATTTATACATTTCTTTTTTCCCCTTCATTTTATTTTTTGTTTGGAGAAGTTTCGTTGATTTCTTCGAATTTCGAATACTGCAACTTCTCTTCTATTCGGCCGATTTTTATGAATGAGACCTCTTTCAATTCGTCTTTGAACGGAGAGTAAGGAAAAAATTGCTAAGTATTCGCGAAACAATTTTTTCGAAAATTTGATTGATCCCAGCGTGACGGTGAAATGGGTAATCGAGTGAAAGTAATTAGGTCTGACTGTGACGAGGACCGCGAGGGTCGCCTTTTGTTCTTCAGCTGGGAAGCGACGCGGCGAACCGAGCCAGGACCGGGACACTACCTGGGTTTTGTGCCTGCCTGTGCACTGTTTTGGCCTGATAGGGGAGTGAATTTCTGTATGGGCCACGGTTAGCACATGGTCTAATGAGTCTCGAGGCTCATCACAGATTGCACTTACCACTATCCTGTTGGCCCCGGCTATCAGAGCAAGGGGTACCAAATTTTGAAAATCTTAACAGGGTTGTGGAGATCTGTCAAAGCAACGTTTTAAACAAAACGAAGAAGTGAAATTCTCATTCAACGAGTGCCGACCTGATCAGCCATCCTCGAATCAGTTCGCTTGTTTCTGCTTATATATGCATATTTTAAATCAGCGCGTCGTACTCTTAGGCTTTTTTTAAAAAAAATAAGTAACGTAGACTCTTGGTATTCACTGCACATAAACTAGAGAGCCCCAGAATGAGAAACAACTTTAAATCATAATTATTGACGGATAAATAAACTTTTTACAGGCTTTGGAAAATCTCAGAAGTTCGCGGTAGTCACTTTTCGGTAAGGAACTAAGGGACTCGGTTATTGTATCGAGTGGGGGGTCGAAACGATCGCAAAGGCGGTATACTACGTATACGCGCCAACAAGATACTAATGTGACACCTCTTAATATGAAAAAGTTTGTCACGAAATACATTTTTGAGGACAGCAATAAGCTTACTATTTATAAAAGAGGGAGCAATATTTCCGCACAAGTTAAGATAATTAATAATTCAATTATTAATTGCTTCATTAATGAACTTACTGTAACTCATTTAGACTGCCATGCATTTCATTCGTTAATGAACTTGTTGTTTTGTTGTATACTATTTGAATGTACACACCTCTAGTTTGCGGAAAAACCTCAGAAATGCAAAAAATGAGTTATTTCCATCCTCAAATCCTCAAATCAACGTCATATCCTGCGTAGAAAATGCCACCATCACCTTCTCATATTATATACCTCTCGAAATAAATTTTCCTCGAAACTACGTCATATCAAAAAGGACGATGATCGATCATATGCATGTAAACTGAATGCTTAATGCTCTCTAAATACGACTGAAGACACGATGAAAAAGATACTGAAACTTTTAAGTTTCTCGTTATTCGTATCGATTCTTTTCAAAATATTTGTTGTACTCATGTGCAAAGCCTGAGCTAATATGAGTGAGCCTCGAAAACCCTCAAGTGCAAGCTTAATCGAGAACTCACTTAGAATTCTCTCTGGCTTGCAAAACTTCAGACAACTTTCACAGGAGCGCATCGTCGAAGAAAATAGAAGAATCTTTGCCTCAGATTATGCTGATGTCATCGCGGACGGAAGAGGGAATCGAGCAAATTCTTCAGCGTTTGGAAACAACCAACGTGATCCCTGAGTTTGCCGCCCTGTCAAACGGAGTGTTCCAAGAAAACATTAAAGGGCACATGTTTAGGGGATATAACTTGAAGCACGCAGATGGATCAATCTCTGAACCTAAATGGCAGGTAAACGATAGTTTTGTTGTAATACATTCAAACAATCAAAACATTTTTCAGACAAAAGACAATGGTCCGATAAAAATCAGTATTAGTTTACCTCATTAATTGAATCAGTGAGAACGAAAATACACCAACGCGGAAAAATGAAAAGAATCTGGACACACACGAAACCGAACAATAAATGAAGAAATTAGTCTAAGAAAGATATTTTTGGTGCCGAAATACAAGCACGTAAGGGCACTTTAAAGGCCCAAGCTGGAACAAATGCGCTAAATTCAATGCCTTTTATAAAAATTGACCGTCTCTTATGAAAATTGAGCAATTTCGAGTTACCGAGTTGGTGTGTTTCCGAACTCACTGATTCAATTAAGGACGCTGGAATTCAGTAGAGGTTCAAGGAAAACAAGCGAAGGACCCTCCAATGCGATAGTACCTCATGCCAAGGACTCTAAAAATTAAGCGAATTTCATTATAACGCCTGAATGCAACTATTCGAACTCCACGGATGCCCGGATTGCATACGCACGGGATTGAAGGCGTTTTGGCACTGTGGGCTCTAATCGCTTCACTCGCGGTGCGAATGAACTCATAGATACAGTTGTTCTTGTGTTTCAAGAGCAATTATTTGCGGCAACGACTGCCATCCTTCATGGCCTCAAAAGCGGTAATCTTCATCCTAGTTTTAAGGATTTTGCGCTTTTGAAATTTTACCAAAAAATTATAACGTTCAAATGAGGCATCTCACACCGTTTTCTGTTTGATTTAACTTTTTCACTTTACTCCAAAATTTCTATTGATGTGCCTCCTCTGTCGATGCGCTTGAAGCTAATATTACCGAGGTTAATTCTTCTTAAATTGTCTACCTGTGACTAATTTCAGAGAGTAGACGGAGATAAAGGCCCAATTTGGTGGGTGTTCTCTGGGATGGGCTCCCAATGGAATGGCATGGGCGCTCAACTTATGCACATTCCTCTGTTTCATGACGTCATCGATAAGTGTGACGAAATTCTACGCCCACGCGGTGTGGATATTAAACATATCTTAACAACGGATGATGAGACTATCTTTGATAACATCCTCCATTCTTTTGTCGGCATCGCTGCCATTCAGGTACGTTTCCAGAATTACCATGTTGTTTGAACGATTAAATTTTCATATGCAGCAAAGTGAGAGAGAAAATATCCCATCCTCTTTGTAAAATGATGGATCAAAACAGAAAGCAGTTTTGAAAAAACATGTTTTTTTATACATCAAAATATACATAATTATGGAGAAAACTAAATGATAAAACAAAGACACCATCGTACAAAATGGCTAAAACTGCACATTTCAACTTTTCTTTCAATAATATGGACATTAGAGAAACCTAAGATATTTTGACCATTAGTGACAAAGGAAATTTATAATAATCCTGAAGTTTCGTTTAGTAAACAAATGAAAAACGAAGCTCGAAATTACGCACGTTGTGAAGCGGCATAAACTTCTGTTGTTCTGTATGTTTTTTTCGTAATAAATTCCTGACCTCAGTTCAATGCTCCGCTTTGAAATTGTACAGAAATTCAAAGAGTTAGTGAACATTAGATCGTTTTTCTCTGATACAGATTGGACTGGTCGAAATTCTGAGAGCTTTGGAAATTGAACCAGAAGGCATTGTCGGTCATTCTGTCGGTGAGTTAGGCTGTGCATACGCAGATAACTGTTTGACTCTCGAACAAACTATTTTAGCAGCCCATGCTCGTGGAAAGGCGTCTCTAGAGGCAACTCTAATCAAAGGAATGATGGCCGCCGTAGGTTAGTATAATCGCTGACTATAAGTAATATCTTGTAATTTTCATTTAAGTAATAGATTTTACAAAATTAAAATTTGAGATTGCTCTAGAAAGATACGGAGTCCTCGAGTTTCAAGCCTATAGTTTCGTAAGTGGAATTTCCACGGAAAAATATAGGCGAATCCAGGGGGACGTAGGGGGGATTCGCCCAAAAAAAGGAGGAAGAAAAAGGGAAGGAAGAAAGAAGGACGGAACGGAGGATCGCACACAATTTCCCCGGAAATTGCGTGTGATTCATTGCAATATAGACTACGTACTTTGAAATTTAGTTGAGTGTGGGATTTAGACTAGAAGAACTAGAAGGATTTTTGTAGGGACTTGAAGGACTAGGGAATTTTAAAAGGAGACTCATTGGAAAATAGTATGGAGACATTCACCACCACTTTCCCACTACAAAAATTTTCAGTGGGTTTGATCTTTTCACTGTATTCCCCAAAATATTTGGATATTTTCATGTGAATTTTTTTTAAATACATTATTCCGCAATCACATGTCTTGTTTACGGTGTCTGAAAAGCTCCGCCTCTATATTATATTTTTAAAGGAGAATAAATTGACATCGTTCCTTAAAGTTTTTGCAGAACTTCCTTCGCAAAGAGAAGAAAAATCACGGCAGTTTTAAGGAATTGCCGTTGAGTAGTTTTCCGTTTAAAAAATGAAGTATGACAGGAAGTTTGCGACATCGCAAACCGAGTTATGTGATTGCTGACTTACACAGACAATATTTGTCTTTTAAGCGCTCAGCCGATAGGCGGCGCTTTTTGATTTCGATTTGCCACTAGAGCTCTAGTATAGTAGGGCGCTCAAGCGATCAAATGGCGCACCAACTCATCGATGCACGAAACGCCATTTTTACTTTTTTTTTTTTTATTACCTCATTATGCCTCTGTGAATACGATTAAATGCAAATTAGCGTAAGAAATAAATAACAGTCCTAAAACTCTCTTTGCTATGCGGTTTATAGTTATCCTATAATTACTTCTGAAAGTTCAAGATTCGCGTTCTGTTTTCCGAAAACTTTTCCACCGGTGATAACCTTATTCGGAGACCTTAGTAGAATTCGCCTACATCTAGGTTATGTGTCTTTGACCTAGGTACTGGAGAGTATTGCCATCCTTTTGCCCTTCTCTAATTGGTTCATGAGTTTTGGCGTCTTTGGCCCTCTTCTGGCTTAATAAGATCAATGTTCATTTTCTGTAGGTACATAGCCGCGATTCAGATTCAGATCAGATGACACTACTCTCCCGTATTTGCTTCTCGCGTCTCGCTTACTCCTTTGTGTTTTCATATTTCGTCCATCTCCCTCCATCCATAATTAATTCCATAATCCATCCGCCTCGTTTAAGATTG